AACCATTGGGAGAATTCTTTAGACATGAACTCACATCCCCTATCTGTCATAATTTGCTTTATTCTGATATTATGTTGTGTTTCTATACGTTTGTAGAATTCCTTAAATTTCTGAAATGTTTCATCCTTGTGCTTTAATGTGTAAACAAAACCATATCGGCTGTAGTCATCCACTATTGTTAGGAAGTAACGTTTTCTATAGGTAATTGAGGGACTTAATGGACCAACTAAGTCCATATGTACCAAATCAAAAATATTGTTAGTTGATCTGTTAGATTTTTTTGGTCTGGGACTGGTTTTTAGTTTGGTGGACTTACATACTGAGCATTCCAAATAATTTTCACAATTTTTTATTTTGACACCTTCTGCGTGTTCAGTCATTTTTTGTACTACAGGAAAGCTTGCATGTCCTAACTTCCTGTGTAAGATGTGAGCACACTCATCATGAATTGGTTTACCTATTTTTGGTTTCTTTTCCTTGTATGTGTTTTTGTGATCATGAGTTATTCTACACTCATCATTGTCACTGTTACTGACATTTTCATCATCTGCTTCAATACAATCTTCCATATTTGAATCAATGTTATGTAAACATCTTTCTATAGTTATCAGATAGGGTAGACCTCCTTTTATCATTACAGTACCTACATTTGTTTTGTTCTTTTCTATAGTTGCTTTCCCCTTTGAGAAAACTATATTGATATCAGATTCTCTGCTTAATTTTATGGCACTTAGTATGTTGTGAGGTATTTCTGGGATTAATAATACCCCCTCTATTTTCCCTAGACCAGGCAAGGTCACATTTCCTTTGCCTAGTACTTGAACCTTTTCTTGATTAGCTACCTTTATCACAAACTTATCTTCTATAAATGAAGATAATATACTTTTGTTGTTGGTGGTGTGATTTGTTGCACCAGAATCAATAAGCCAATTGTTATTCTCATCCTGCTGTGTTCTGGTGCTGTCTTGTTTATTTAGCCCATTCAGTGACCCAGATTTCCTCTCTTTTGAATTTTCTCTACCCCCTCTACCTTCTTTGTAATTTGGTGGGCTTCTATATTCTGGTCTATGTCTCTCTCTTGAGACTTTGGGGCAGTCTCTTCTACTATGTTCCCTGGATCCACAATTGTAGCATCTAAAGGCCTCATTATGTTTATCTTGAAAGACTACTTTCCTAAAAGGTTTGTGGTCTGTTTGGTTACTGGATCGATTTTTTCTTGAATTGTCTTCTGCTATCAATTTGTTAGATAGACTTTCTATGGATAAATATCCCAAATTAATGGTATCTAAGTGTGACATAAAGCTATCCCATGATGGATCAAGTGAATTGATAATAACACTTTTCATTGTTTGATCTGAAATCACTTCCCCCCTCAATTGTAGCTCAGCTCTTATTTTGTTTAGATTTATCAAATGCTCACTTATAGAAACCCCTGGTTTTACTCTAGAGGAAAAGAAATCCTTAGACATTCTTGTGGTTGTAGCTACGCTATCGCTGTGAAATAGATTAAACATGCATTGAATTATTTCTGATACAGTTAGGTTTGGTTTGATGCTATGATACATTGCAGGAGACACGCTAGATATTATTATGAAAAATGCTCTATGATGTAAACAATCTATTTTTAAAGTCCAAGGTCTTCTTGGAGGGCTAGTTATAAAGAATAGTAAATTTTCTTTCATGAAAATAACCTGAAGCTGTTGATACCACTCTTGTAAATTAATGCCATCAATTCTAAGTTTTGGGAAGTCACTGGGTAAGTTACCTACATTATTCTGTCCATTACTTACAACCTGGGGCAGTCCGTGATCTCTCAAGTGCAGGAAATTACAGAACGGCATTGGGATGCTTGCAATGAGTCTGCGCGGTTCTCTGGCCAGTTCAAGTCCTTCTGGGTCGTCTACGTAGTTTCGCACATGCGCGTTGCTCATTTCTTCTTTGGTGGCGTCGTGGAAGGTTCTCTCCCTTTCAGCTCTCTCGATCCGCTCCTCCTCAGATGAGTCGGTCTCTGGCTCGGTTTTTGGGGTTCTGGTGGTGGTGACGGTTCTTTTCTTCTTTTTGTGTGCGTTGGTATTCGATTTTGTCTGTGGTGTAGGGCGAAATCGGCATGGCTCTCTGGGCTCGGGCGTCGTCGCTTTCGAAGTCAGGATGGGAGCGTGCAGGTCTTGAGTCGCCGGTTTGATTTCTTGCTTCTTCGTAGATGTCTTGGTAATTTTCAGTCTTGGCCCAAAAGCAGCAAAAAGCGTTTTCATTGCTGATTTTACTTGAGATTTTGTTAAATCGTCTTCACTTTCTGATTTTGGATCATCTGAAGAGTTTGAGACTTCTTTCTCACTTTCTTCGTCTGATAGTGTTTTTCGCGCCAGAAATTTTGAACTGAGCGTTTTGATTGGCTCTGCTCCATTCTCTTTTGAAGTTCGTTGAAACCAAGATGGCTGCCATTCAAAATTTCGCGCGGGATCACATCTTTTCTTTTTAACAACTATTTTCTCAGTAGTCATCTCACTTACGATTTTTTGATCTTTGGGTTTTTCTTTAATGACGTTTTTCTCTCTCGCTGCTCCGCTGTTCTTCAGCATCTCCTGGAGGTCCGCGATGAGACTTTCATCATTCTTTTGGCTTTTTAGTATCTTTAATATCTCTGACCTGAGTTCGTTATTTTCTATTTCGATTTCTTTCTGGTCATTATTTTCACTCATTAGTTCTTCTTCTTCAGTGGTGTATTCTTCGGATTCTCTCGAAATCGCATTGGTGGATTCGTTGATCATCTCTTGATCAGTTTCTATTTCTTTGCTGTAGGCCCTGGTGTTGGGCCTATCTTTCTTGGACATTTTTAATTACTTATTGAGTCAATTAACCATCCTCTGCTACCAGTTTGTTGCAATATTTTCAGGATCAGACTCAATAAAGATAATAGGAGTTAGAGCTTTAAATATATTTCTTTTTAATTATGATAGGCATTCTATATTCACTGAATATTCAAGGTAGAAGCGACGAGAATGGTGAGGGTGGCTCCTTATATATACAAGGGGTGGAGCTAGGAATGGGAGTGGTAAGTTATGAATACATTAAAGTCCAAAGAATAAGTTAACCTCTGATGTTCCATATATACATTATTTACACATTGGAGAATAAGGCATTTACATCTGACAATATCTGCCTCTATCTAGGATCGAATTCACAGCCTCTTGATTGTGAGGCGAGAGCTCCACCTCTAGGCCAACACACTATTCCTTATTTAAATATATACCGTGTTTCCCCGAAAATAAGACCCTGTCTTATATTTTTCTGAACCCTGAAATAAGCGCTTGACCTTATTGCCATGCGCTCAAAAGCCCGATTGGGCTTATTATCAGGGGATGTCTTATTTTGGGGGAAACAGGGTATATATCTATATCTGGATCCGTTCCAGTCGGGCTTCAGGCCCGGGTACAGCACGGAAACGGCATTGGTCGCGTTGGTTGATGATCTCTGGAGGGCTCGGGACAGGGGGTGCTCCTCTGTCCTGGTCCTGTTAGATCTCTCAGCGGCTTTTGATACCATCGACCATGGTATCATGCTGCACCGGTTGGAAGAGTTGGGGGTGGGAGGCACTGTGTTGCGGTGGTTCTCCTCCTTTCTCTCTGACCGGTCGCAGTCTGTGTTGACAGGGGGACAGAGGTCGACCCCGAGGCCCCTCATATGTGGGGTGCCGCAAGGGTCGGTCCTCTCGCCTCTCCTGTTCAACATTTATGTGAAGCCGCTGGGTGAGATCATCCGTGGTTTCGGGGTGGAGTACCATCAGTACGCTGACGACACCCAGCTGTACATCTCCACCCCGGATCACCCCAACGATGCCCTTGAAGTGATGTCCCGGTGCCTGGAGGCCGTACGGATCTGGATGGGGAGGAACAGGCTCAGGCTCAACCCATCCAAGACTGAGTGGCTGTGGTTTCCGACGTCCCGATATAGTCAGTTGACGCCATCACTGACTATTGGGGGCGAATCATTGGCCCCCACGGAGAGGGCTCGCAACTTGGGCGTCCTCCTGGACTCACGGCTGTCTTTAGAAGAGCACTTGACGGCCGTGACCGGGAGGATTTTTCATCAGGTTCGCCTGATTCGCCAGTTGCGTCCCTTTCTGGATCGGGACTCTTTACGCACGGTCACTCATGCCCTTGTCACCTCCCGCCTGGACTATTGCAACGCTCTCTACATGGGGCTCCCCTTGAGGAGCACCCGGAGGCTCCAACTGGCGCAGAGTGCGGCCGCGCGGGTGGTAATGGGAGCGACATGGCGTTCCCATGTAACACCTCTCCTGCGCGAGCTGCACTGGCTCCCGGTGGTCTTCCGGGTGCGCTTCAAGGTTTTGGTTACCACCTTTAAAGCGCTCCATGGCTTAGGACCCGGGTACTTGCGGGACCGCCTACTACCACCAATAGCCTCCCACCGGCCGGTACGCTCCCATAGAGAGGGGCTCCTCCGGGTGCCGTCAGCCAAACAATGCCGACTGGCGGCCCCCAGGGGGAGAGCCTTCTCTGTGGGGGCACCTACTATCTGGAACGAGCTCCCCCCAGAGATACGGAGGATCCCGGATCTGCGCACCTTCCGCCGCGCCTTAAAGACCTTACTATTTCACCAGGCCGGCCTGGCCTAATTTTCCCCCTCTTTTATAAAAGATTTTTAAAATTTTAAATATTTTTTAGTATTTATATATTCAATTTTAAATTGGTTTTAAAAGTTTGGGGTTTTAAATTTGTCGGGGCCAAAATTATTTAATTTGATTTTATTCTATTTTTTTAAATTTTGTATTGTATGTGTTTTTATTGTTTGGCTGTGCACCGCCCTGAGTCCTTCGGGAGTAGGGCGGTATAGAAATCTAATAAATAATAAAATAATAATAATAATAATAATAATAATAAATAAAAGCTCACTGGGCTTTCCTGGGCTTAAAATGAGACCAAGACCTGTCTCACTTTTTCCTCTAAAGTTTTGTTAAAAGTGTCTTTTCCCTCATGTAGGTTATGAAGCAGAATGGGTCATCGGAAATCTTGAACAAACTCTACGATACAGCGATGGATAAGCTTGAAGTCGTGAAGAAGGACTACGATGCACTAAGAAAGCGGTACAATGAAAAAATAGCCAGTCACAACAGTGATCTGAGCCGGTTAGAGCAAACGGAAGAAGAAAACAAACGTCTCCAGAAACAGATGGACATGTTGATGAAGCAGAGGGACACGGCGGTCCATTTTCAGCAGCAATGTTCCACTTCTCTGAGAAGGTGAAAATCAAATGGGGGTTTCCTAACTCAGTGCGTCTTCAGTAGAAGCATCTTCACTCAATTCTCTCTTTGGAACTTCCTTGATGGTGCTCACGGTCTTTCTAAGGGCCAACGGAACCGACCTTGTCAGTTTTCTGCTTGTTTGTCCGTTGACATTTAAAGTGTGAGTCTGTGTGGGTACATGGATACAGGTTTTGAGGTGAAAAGTCCACAAGGGTGGACTTTCCTTACCAGTGGTGGGTTTCAAATTTTTTTACTACCGGTTCTGTGGGCGTGACTTGGTGGATGTGGCAGGGGAAGGATACTGTAAAATCTCCATTCCCCTCTGACTCCAGGGGAAGGATACTGTAAAATCTACATTCCCTCCCCAATCCAGAGGACGGTTACTGCAAAATCCCCATTTCCTCCCGATCAGCTGGGACTCGGGAAGCAGAGAATAGATGGGGGCGGGGCGAGTCAGAACTTTTATTACCGGTTCTCCGGACTACTCAAAATTTCCGCTACCGGTTCTCCAGAACTGGTCAGAACCTGCTGAAACCCACTTCTGGTCCTTACATCCAGAATCAGAATAGAGTTGGAAGGGACCTTGCAGGTTTTCTAAACCAGCCCCCTGTTCAAGCAGGAGACCCTAGACCAGGGGTCTCCAACCTTGGCAACTTTAAGACTTGTGGACTTCAATTCCCATTCTGGAAGCCCACAAGGCTTAAAGTTACCAAGGTTGTAGACCCCTGCCCTAGACCATTGGGTATCCAGTTTCTTCTTTAAAAACCTCCAGTAATGAAGCACCTACAACTTCTCACTGTTAGGAAGTTCATCCTTAATTCCAAGTTGTTTCTCTCCTTGATTAGTTTCCATCCATTGTTTCTTCTCTTGCCCTCTGGTGTTTTAGAAAATAAGTTGACCCTCTCCTCTTTGTGGCAGCCCCTCAAATATTAGAATATTGTTATCATGCCCTCCCTCCCCAGTCCTTATTGCTTCTACACTGGCCATGCTCAATTCCTGCAATGGTGCTTCATATGTTTTAGTCTCCAGACTTTTAATCATCTTAGTTGCTCTTCTCTGCACTTTTTCCAAAGTCTCAACCTCTCTTTTTGTAATGTGGGGACCAAAACTGGATGCAGGTATGTGGCCTTACTAAGGCTTTATAAAGCGATAACTAATACTTCACACGATTTTGATTCTATCCATGTCGTCTCCACTCATTCCCGGTCTGCCTCTGAAGAGGTGGAAGTGAGGCTGATTTTTTTAAAAAAGGCACTTTAAAAGATAAACTAAGACACAGCTCAACTCCTCACATCTGCTCACTTTTTATTGGCGTTAAAGTTTAACTCCGCTTACTAATCATATCTGAGGAAAGCAGAGAGCAGTGGGCCACATTGCTTCTACTATGATCGTTTTAAACGGTTTGTGTTCTGGCTCCTAAGTGGAAAAAAAGACTTTAAAACCCATTTCCTTTCCTGCAAACGATCCCCCTGGCTATTTTTTTTCAGATTTGAGACGATACAACAAGAACTGACCAAAGCCACAGCCCAGAACAAGGAGCTGCAGAGAGAGATGGAACGGCTGCAGTCAGAAGCCACGAGGTATAAAACGGTGCAGCTGAAGGCCGCCAAGGATGCCGAGAAGTACAAGGAAGAACGGGACTCGGTTTTCAGCGAGTATCGCCTCATCATGAGCGAGAGGGATCAAGTGATCAAAGAGGTAGATAAACTTCAAACGGAGCTGGAGCTGGCAGAATCGAAACTGAAAAACACATCGTCAGAGAAAAAAGTGGCCAGTGAGGAAATGGAAGCATTAAGACAGGTATGGAATCAGAAGAAAGACAATTTTGCGGGTTGAAAGAAATCAAATCATTCTGTTTTTGTTATTGTTTGGTGCAATCCTGTCCGTGGATTTTGCTTGAGCAAGGAGCCTATTCAATTGTTTGCTCGTCGCTCAATGAATTTGAGCAAGGAATACTTGCGAGGTGACCAGACCAGCTCATTTGAGGGAGCTATTAGGATCTCGTTTCACTAGGTTAGCTAGTTCCTTTTGAGGTTGCTAGTTCCTTTTAGCTAGTCCCTTTTGAGGGGATGCGGTGGCTCAGTGGCTAAGACGCTAAGTTTGTCGATCAGAAAGGTCGGCAGTTCAGCTGTTCGAATCCCTAGTGCCGTGTAACAGGGTGAGCTCCCGTTACTGGTCCCAGCTTCTGCCAACCAGCAGTTCGAAAGCACGTAAATAATGCAAGTAGAAAAATAAGGACCACCTTTGGTGGGAAGGTAACAGTGTTCCGTGCGCCTTTGGCATTTAGTCATGCCGGCCACATGACCACTGAGATGTCTTCGGACAGCGCTGGCTCTTCGGCTTTGAAAAGGAGATAAGCACCAGCCCCTAGACTCGGGAACAACTAGCACATATGTGCGAGGGGAACCTTTACCTTTGAGGAATGTTCAACCCAATGGCCCACCAAACAATTATCTATACATAAAAACGGGCCATAGATGAAGTTCTAATGTAGATACCTGCTTGACATTTCAAGGAGCTGGTTACCATGACTGTGAATTCTAGGGCCACCTAAACCATGAAAACCACCTGGGTGACTTTGGGCCAATCACCAGGAGACGGTGAATTCTAGTCCCTTTAGCCATGAAAACTGAGTGGGTGATTTGGGGCCAGTTTCTCCCTCTCCCTCTCCCTCTCCCTCTCCCTCTCTCTCTCTCTCTCTCAGCCCAACTTGCCTCATAGGTTTGTTGTTTTGGGGAAAATAGGAGGAAGTTGTGTAAAAAGTGCAGGTGTGTTGCATATATTCTCCGCCTTGAGTTATTTGTAAAACTAATAAAGACGAATACAAATAAATAAATTAATGGTTGCGCCAGGATTTATTTTTTTTAATAAGTGCCTAGTCTAGTCTATAGGATCTCACATCAAAGTACCGTACTTATTGGGTGTGATCTTGCTTAACTTTTGAGCTTAGTCATCAAGATCAGCCAGATGCTGCCATCTTCTGGGGTTTAAATATAACATCCCCCCCACAAGTTTAGCTCAGTTCTGTTATATATAATAACAGAACAGAATAACAGGCATTCTGTTTCCATATTAGCCAGCCAGATGTCTTTGAAAAGGCTACAAACATGAGTTAGATTTACATCTCCTGATATTCAAAAGGCTGTTGTCTAATTACCAGTAGAGCTATGAATGGATATCACTGGATTTCCATATACCTTGATACTTATCTTCCCTGTAGCTGTCTGAAAAGAGGGCCTTTTAAAATTTTGCAAATCAATAGTTAATGTTATGACAGTCAAATTCCTATACTAACCAAGTGCTTGAGTTGAAAATAGATTTAAAAGAAACTTTAAGTGTTATGAAGAGATTCCCTACAATAGCAGATTAAAAACTTAAGCCAGATACATTGTTTTCTGTTAGCTTAATCACAGATTTATCTTCAAAAAGCTATCAGATTTCATATTAATTTAAGTAGATTTAGATGTTTAGGAGTAATTGTTTCAGAGGATTGACAACACTTGAAGAAACATAATTATGATCCTCTTTAATATGCGTTAGATTAAAATAGAACTTGTCATAGCAACAGTTTAAGCTCCTATTATTTAGTAAAGCAGCTGCGGTCAAAATTACTTCTTATCATCTACAGTATTTTTACTTCATAGATTACAGGTCCCATTGATAACAAATACATAAGTTTTAATTTATATATAATTATATATTTTTAGAAAGCCTAGGTTTACATAAAAAGCATGGTGTAAGATTTAGCTTAAGAAAAAGATTTAGCATAAGAAATTGGCAATGACATTTGGGTGCTTTTCAGTTAAAAGAATTAATGCAAGTTGTTGGATGTTAAGATAATGTCCAATGGATGCAAATAAACTCTATTATTTAAAATAATACCATTTCCCATTGACATTATGGTCAACATTTATTGTCACAAATATGTACCTAAAATAGAGATATAAAAAAGCTCATTTTTATATATATATATATGTAATGTTAAGCAATAGCCTTCATACTTTTGTATATTTATACAAAGTCATTTTATTGCCCCCACAATCTGGGTCCTCATTTTACCTACCTTTGAAAGGATGGAAGGCTGAGTCAACCTTGAGCCTGGTGAGATTTGAACTTGCAATAATTGCAAGCAGCAGATGTTAATAACAGTGCTTTAGTCCACTGTGCTACCAAGGCTCTTATCATCAGTTAGTTAGTTCCTCCCTCCCTCCCTCCCTCTTTCTTTCTTTCTTTCTTTCTTTCTTTCTTTCTTTCTTTCTTTCTTTCTTTCTTTCTTTCTTTCTTTCTTTCTTTCTTTCTTTCTTTCCTACCAGGACAAGTCCTCTCACTTCTTTTGGCAAGATTTTTCAAAAAGTGGTTTGCCATTTGTCTCTTTCCTAGGGCTGAGAGAAAGTGACTGGTCCAAGGTCACCCAGTTGGCTTTGTGTCTAAAGCAGGGCTAGAACTCCCGGTCTCTCAGTTTCTATCCTGATACCTTTACTACTACACCAAACCAGGTTTCTTCTTTATGTCCCAATAAATGAAATTAGCCCTTTTAAAAAAAAACATGCAGTGGTGGTATCAATCTTCTCGTTGTGTTCCTCACTGTAACTTTTATGATCTCAGGTGCTTAGCAGGAAGAATAACCAAAGGAATAGAAGAAGATGAGGAAGGATCAATAGTTTCTTTATGTCTCTCTTCCTTCCAGAACATTCTACTTCTTCTGTCACCTTTTTACGGTCCTGAGGCAATATTTCTGATTCAGCCCTCACCACCGAAAAAATACTTACCTTTTAAGTTATTAACAAACTCTAGCAAATGTTGGAATTGTAATAAAAAAATGGGCACATTTTATCATATGTGGTAGACTTGTGTTAAAGCCAAAAAAAATTGGGCAAAAATACACAGATGGATAGAAAAGATAATAGGGAAACATGTAGATGCCGAACCTGAACTGTTTTTATTAGGGATGATATCAGAAAAAATTGATAAGAAAAGTATGTATTTAATATTACATGTCTTAACAGCAGCGAGGATTATTTTCGCTCAATATTGGAAAAATGAAGAAACACCGCAAGATGAAGAGATAATTAAGAAGATATTAGATTGTGCAGAAATAGATAGATTTACATTGAAAATCAAATAGAAAGAAGGCACAGAATATTATCAAACATGGAACTTATTTTATCAGTGGTTGGAAAATAGGGGTGGAGTTAAAGAATGGAAATTGTATGGCTAAGCAAATTAAATACCCAGACAACACGATGTTTATTAAGCACTCAGAAATGTAATAAATATTTTTTTTAAAAAAAAACCCTTTATTACATGCCCAGAGTTTAGAGGTGTGATGGTGAACCTATGGCACGTGTTCCAGAGGTGGTACGCAGAGCCCTCTTTCTGCTGGCATGTGTGCCGTCCCTCCAGGTCAGATCTCCGTGGCGTTTCTTTCGTGACCTTCTGTTTCCCTGCAAATGACGAAACAGAAGCTCACAAAAGAAAAAGATCTTGCCTCTTGCTGCGCTGCCAGTGTTGGGGTGCCCTGCCAGCCACCTGGTCTTCAGCTCTCTGCTGTGCATATGTGCATGTCTATCCATGCACGTGTACATGCATGCACATACATGTCTGTGCATGCATGCATTCTCACTCATGCGCAACTTTCAATTTGGGCATGCGCGCGCGCAGTTTGGGCACTCAGTGTTTAAAAGTTTCGCCATCGCTGTCTTTTGATCAACCCCACGTTCAACGTGCGTTCATCATCACGAGAGAGTTTCCTTCTTACCTGACCAACTTACCTGTCAGGATTCCAAGTAATACCCCCAACGAAAGAAAACTCCGAGGCTTGAGTTTCCTCAAAGTTCCATTTTATTAGAGGTGTCATATCGGCACATCTGGGAAAACCCGAATATGAAAGTTTCCAGGCTTTCCCCACCCAAAGGAAAGTTCAAGCACCCACGTGTCCATCACATGGTCCAATCAAGCACCGTCCCAACTGGAGATACTTCCCAGTTCCAGCCCTCCAGGTGCAGGGCAAGATGTCCTTGACTCTCTGAGAAAGGAATGTTATTATGACTATATATCTTCATTCTGCCATACAATCCCCCCCCCCCCCCACGGTAGGAAATGTGGCAGACCTGAAGGCCCAATGCAAAAGATGGCTTCCAAGCTTGACACTTGGTATTTTTCAATTTCTCTGTGTTTTTTTTTTAAAAAGCAACTTCACTGAATAGTTGTACATAATTTAAACAAATGCATAAGCATAATATTGCGGTTTTCAGAGGATCACATTACCACATTTAATCTGTTTGCAGGTCACATTTAATCTGTTTGCAAAATACAGCCTTACTAATTAAGGGGGAGGGGGAATGAAATCCTTGGCAATAATAATAATAATAATAATTGCAAATTGTACAAATGCTCCATACAATCCCCCTTCCCTGTTTCCCACAGTAGTAAACGTGGCAGGCCTGAAGTCCTAATGCAAAAGATGGCTTCCAGCCCTGACACTACCAAGGGTTGCTTCCATTTTAGGAGCTGAATTCCGCTCTGGTGGAACGAGACCGAGCCATCTGTGAAAGGAACGAGCTCTTAGAAAAATACTGCCACGAAGTGAAGGACAAGGCAGAGGCCCAGAAGGAGCTGGACCAGGTGTGTAAGGATATTGAGACAGTGAAGGAAGAGAGGGATGTAGCCAGGAAGGAGAGAACGGAAGCCATCATCCAGAGAGACCATCTATTAAGAGAATACTATCAAGCTCGCCAGGTAACAATGTTAATCTTTTAAAAATTGCAATGTTGGGATTCTCTTCCCTTGGAGGTTCCCTTTTTCTATGGCCATCAGTGGGTAATACGCATTTAATTTATATCGGAATCGTGAACTGGTTTATGACTACGACTGAGCCCAAAATTGCTGACAATTATGAATTGCTCAACCATACTAGACAACCGATTGCTGCAGAAAAACTACCCCAAAGGCAGAGGTAGTCCTTGACTTATGACCATAATTAAGCTCCAGATTTCCACTACTAAGCAAGAAGGCTCTTAAGTGCAATTCCCCCTCCCCCAATTTTAACCACCTTTCTTGCCACAGTCGTGAAGTGAAGTTAGTATAGGTAACCCTCGAGTTACAGTTGAGCCCAAAATTTATGCTGCTAAGTGAAGCATTTGTTAAAGTTGAGTTTTGCCCCGTTTTTACGACTTTTCTGGCTACGGTTGTTAAGTGAGTCACTGCAGTCCTTAAGCTAGTAACATGGTTGTTAAGTGAATCTGGCTTCCCCGTCGCCAAAGGGGATCCCATGACCCTGGGACTCTGCAACCGTCATAAACGTGAGTCAGTTGGCCAAGCATCTGGACTTTGATCACGTGATCCTGGGGATGCTTGCAATGGTCGTAAGTATGAAAAACGGTCATAAGTCAATTTTTTTTCAATGCTGTTGCAATTTCGAACGGTGACTAAACGAATGGTTGTAAGTCGAGAACTATCTGTACATTGATCTATTCCCTGGCATCCGTAACAGTTTTGGATAATGTCAAAATGATGACACCAAGCTCAAGATCGCACAATGGCCCAGGTTTTTCATGGTATCATGGTGTCTGGATGCAAATATCTGTGTTATGTCATTTTCCTGATGTTAATCATAGCCCGTGTTATCATTTACCCTCCTTCCCCAGCAGGAGGCGCTGGATTAACTCTAACTTTTAATTCCATTAATTAATTGGCTCCAGATCAGTATGCTCGTATTCCTTTGTTAATCAGAGTTTTATCACTGGCATCTGATCAGGATTCCTCTCTCTTTTGATACTGGCATTTTGACCTTTTTCGGAATACATAAGGAATTTTCTGAGCATTATCTGGTGGTTTGGGGTTTTTTTTTTCTTGATTTCTTATAATTTCCAAATGTGTTGAACCTGCTTAATGTCAGGGTTCCAAGTAACACCCCCAATGAAAGAAAACTCCGAGGCTTGAAGTTCCTCAAAGTTCCATTTTATTAGAGATGTCATATTGGCACGTCTGGGAAAACCCGAATCTGAAAGCTTCCAGGTTTTCCCCACCCAAAGGAAAGTCCAAGTCTCTACCCAGCACCCACATGCCCATCACATGGTCCAAAGCACCGTCCCAACTGGAGATGCCTTCCAGTTCCATCCGTCCAGGTGCAGGGCAAGATGTCCTTGACTCTCTGAGAAAAGAATGTTGTTATGACTATATATATCATCCCGGCTCCATACAATCCCTCCTCCCAGTTTCCCACAGCATGTGGCAGACCTAAGGCCCAGTGCAAAAGATGGCTTCCAGGCCTGACATTTGGTATTTTTCAATTTCTCTGGATTTTTTTTTTAACTTCACTGAATAGTTGTACATAATTTAAACAAATGCATAAAAATAATATTGAGGTCTTCAGAGGATCAACATTACCAATCGAGATATAATCTGTTTGCAGAATGCAGCCTTACTAATTAAGGGTGGGTGGGTGGGAATGAAATCCTTGGCCATAATAATTGCAAATTGTACAAATGCCAAGCACAATTATTTATTTATTTATTTAAAAAAACCTAATGTTAAATGCATTTGCAAGCCAAGCCAAGCCAAGGAAGTAACAACAGAATGGATTGTAGGGTATCTTTTGGGGTTCTATTGAAACAAACCCAAAACTTCAAATATTTTTAAACAATGTCGTCCGAATGTTTTTAATGTCTTTCTTTTTTTAAAACAAACAAACAAATAAATAAATTCCAGCTTGAATCCTCTCGTCCTCTGCTTTGTACGCCATGTTGCTTCTGATTCTGTAAACGGAATCCCTTTTTCTACTTTCTTAGATCCAAGATTCGGCCACTTTGGATATAGAAAGAGCGAACAAAGAAATAGAAATGCTTCGGAAGCAGTACGAGGCCATGTCACAGGAGTTAAAAGAAGCCACACAGGAGGCGGAAGTAGCCAAATGCAGGCGAGACTGGGCATTCCAGGAACGGGATAAAATCGTTTCGGAGCGAGAGAGCATAAGGTACGCCCACCATACACTTGTCGCAAAAAGGGGTTTTAACTTTGCAGGAAGACTAGATCTGCACTTTTGAAACCACGGGTGGGAGGAAACAGTTTTCGTGATTTACGACCACAATTTATTTATTTATTTATTTTTAGAATAGAATTCTTTATTGGCCAAGTGTGATTGGACACACAAGGAATTTGTCTTTGGTGCATACGCTGTCAGTGTACATAAAGAAAAAATAAAATACATTCATCAAGAATCATAAGATACAACACTTAGTAATAGTCATAGGTTACTAATAAGCAATCAAATCATACTAGGAAACAAATTAAAACAATATAAATTGTAAAGATACAAGCAACAAGGTTATAGCCATAAGTGGGAAGAGATCGGTACTAGGAAGGAGGAGAAGAAGAATAGTAATACAGTCTTGTAAATAATTTGACAGTGTTGAGGGAATTATTTGTTTAGCAGAATGATGGCATTCTGGAAAAAACTGTTCTTGTGTCTAGTTGTTCTGGTGTGCAGTGCTCTATAGCGTCATTTTGAGGGTAGGAGTTGAAACAGTTTATGTCCAGGATGCAAGGGGTCTGTAGATATTTTCACCGCCCTCTTTTTGACTCGTGCAGTATACAGGTCCTCAATGGAAGGCAGATTGGTAGCCATTGTTTTTTCTGCAGTTCTGATGATCCTCTGAAGTCTGTGTCTGTCTTGTTGGGTTGCAGAGCCAAACCAGAGAGTTATGGAGCTGCAGATGACAGACTCAATAATTCCTCTGTAGAACTGGATCAGCAGCTCCTTGGGCAGTTTGAGCTTTCTGAGTTGGCGCAGAAAGAACATTCTTTATTGTGCTTTTTTTGATGACGTTTTTGATGCTAGGGCCAATTGAGCCCAACACTTCTGTTGTTAAGTGAGACATTTGTTAAGGGAGCTTTGTCCCGTTTTTATGACCTTTCTTGTCTCCGTTGTCAAGTGAATCACCAGAGTTGATAAGTTAGTCACACCCTCCTGGTTCACTTTGCTTATCAGAAGATCACGTGACCCCGGGGCACTGCGACCGTCATAAATATGAATCAGTTGCCAAGTGTCTGAATTTTGATCGGGGGGGGATTCTGCAAAAGTCATCAACTGTGAAAAGCGGCCCTAAATTCCTTTTTTCAGTGCCGTTATCACTTTGAGCAGTCACTAAAAGAATGGTTGTAAGTCTGAATTCTATCCTAGGGGGAATGGAGGCTGGTGGGGACTCCTGTGTAACCCTGCAACCCTCTCACATTGTGTTTCGATTTCTTTGAAGGACTTTGTGTGATAACCTGAGGCGGGAAAGAGACCGAGCCGTGAGTGACTTGGCGGAGGCTCTTCGTAATCTGGATGACATGAGGAAGCAGAAGAACGATGCCGGACGTGAATTGAAGGAACTGAAGTGCGTTATAGAAAAACTCTTTGCATGCTCTTATGTCGGGTCTTTCTTTCCCGCAGCAACACTTGGAATAGGACAGGATGTTTAATAGTATGTACCGTAGTTTTTGGACTATAAGACACACCAGAGTATAAGACGCACCAAGATTTTGAAAAGGAAAACGAAAAAAAAAAGTTTTTGGCCTCCACGCATCCATTTTTTGCCTTCCCTGGACCCCAGGAGCACTGTGCAGGCTTCCCAAACCCTCTGGGCATCCCATTTTTGGAAAAAAATAGTCCTTTTTCGAGAAAAATGGGTCCATTTTTGGCCTCCCGAACCCCCCACGGGTCCCATTTTTGCCCTCCCCAGCCACCAGAAGCACTCTGTGGCAGCATTGAAGCTTCCGGCCTAATATGCCGCTGACACTCTGGAGGCTTCCCAAACCCTCTGTGCATTCCATTTTTGCAAAAAAGGGACGTGCACACGCAGGGGAGGGGGGATGTTTGGGAGGCCAAAAATGGCCATATTTGGTCTATAAGACACATCAACATTTCTACTTTCTTTTTGGTGGGGTGTGTGTGTGTTTTATACTTAGAAAAGTATGGTAAATACAGGTAGCCCTAAACTTACTACCACAATTGAGCCCAACTACTCTGTTACTAAATGAGAGAGTCATTGAATGAGCTTTGCCCCATTTTACAACTTTTCTTGCCACAGTTGTTTCAGTGAATTACTGCAGTTGTTAAGTTAGTCATACGGTTGTTAAATGAATCCGGCTTTCCCACTGACTTGGCTTGTCAGAATCCAGCTGGGATGGTTACAAATAGCACTGTCAAAACCAGAAAGTCCAGTTGCCTCTTGAAAAAAGTACCTTTGGGACAGCCATGACCTGGATGAAGGAGAATCTCCATCGACATTTAAAAAATGGTTGTAAGTCAAGGACTATCTGTATTGTTTAATTTCAAGTGCAATAATTTCACACATTGTGAGTGTGTGAATGATAGATGGAGAGAGGGAGGGAAGGGGAGAGAGAGAGAGAGAGAGAGAGAGAACCACATACTTTTGTAATATGCATATGTAATTTGTTATGGGTAAAAAAAACATGTATTAAAACCCGTAAACCCACAAAATGTGGGAAAGAAGGAAAGAATACCGTATTTTTTCGGAGTATAAAATGCACTTTTTTCCCTCCTAAAAGAGGCTGAAAATTTGGGTGCGTCTTATACTCCGAATGTAGCTTTTTAAAAGCTTTTTTTCAGCCCTAACGAGGCGCTAGCTAGTGAAGTGATCGCCCTTTCCCTGCTTTGCTTGCTCCCTCCAACTCTCAGCTGCGAAGTTTTTTTCCAGCCCTAATGAGGCACTAGTGAGTGAAGCGATCTCTGTGGTTTGCCTGCTTTTCTCATTGCTTCTCTCTCCAAAGATCAGTTGTGCTTTAGAAGCTGTTTTTTTATCCCCAAGCAGGGGATAAAAACCAGCAAATTAATGTGCTGAAGCTGACCATACTAAGGACGCTAGCCAGATGAATACCTGGTAGGCAGTTTTTTCCCCCCTTATTTATTTATTTTATTTATTGGTTTGATTTATATGCTGCCCTTTTCCGGAGACTCAGGGCGGCTTACAATGCGTTAAGCAATAGCCTTCATACTTTTCTATATACCTGCTTAGTAGGGCTTTCGCCACCCCCCCCCCAAGCGGTGTTCCTTTTTATACAAAGTCAGCTTATTGCTCCCACAAACTGGCTTCTCATTTTACCTACCTCGAAAGAATGGAAGGCTGAGTCAACCTTGAGCCTGTTGAGATTTGAACTTGCAGTAATTGCAGGCAGCTGGTGTTACTTAACAGTGCTTTAGTCTGCTACGCCACCAAGGCTCTTTTCTTCCGAAAAAACTAAGCTGCGTCTTATACTCCGGTGCATCTTATACTCCGGTGCGTCTTATACAGTGGTGGGTTCCTCCCGGTTCGGTCCGGTTTGGCCGAGCCGGTAACGGTGACAATATGACGTCACTGAACCGGTTCCCCCCTGCTCTCCCACCCCCACCCCCCACGTTATTCTTACCTTTTATTTGGTCCCACCCCCAATCTATTGCTGCCTCCTGAGTCCCAGCTGATGACTAGAGGGAAAAAAACTGTTTAAACTCTTGCCGCGGGGCTTCAAAGGGCCGTCCTACAGCTGATCAGTGTGTACAGCTGATCAGTGTTAAAAGCAAACAAATGAGTCGGGTCGTAAGTGCGAGGACCTTCCAGAAATGACTCTGACCAGCTAGCCACGCCCACCTAGTCACATGACCTCCAAGCCACACCCACAAAATAAGCCACACCCACATAACCGGTAGTAAAAAAAATTTAGAACCCACCCCTGGTCTTATACTCCGAAAAATACAGTAGATCTGTCTGTAGGACTAACTTTGAATTGGAAGGCAAATAAACCACAACACTCCAATCTAAATGGGCTAGGAAAGATTCCTTCTTTGCCCACTTAACAGATTTCTTTCAGGGTAGCATTTTTGGGGGTGGAGGGGGTGGAAATCACCTGCCTATTAAACAGCGATCGGGATGACGTTAAATCAGAACGCAAGGAATCCAGCATTGAAATCGGGACGTTCATCCTGTCATCCAGAACATGTAAGGGTGAGAAAGAATAAGATGTCCCTTCGTCTTGATTGTGATGTTCAACTTTCCGCAGAGAGAAGATGGAGAATCAGTTGGAAAAAGAGGCAAGGTTTCGACAGCTGATGGCGCATAGTTCCCACGATTCCGCTATTGATACAGATTCAATGGAGTGGGAAACAGAAGTAGTAGAGTTTGAGAAAGACAGGGTAAGTTGAAGTCCATGGTCACAGGTTGGCAGTAGAGCTCTGTTCCTTGGAACTTTCCAGCAAACAGAGATAGGACGGAAAGCAACATCTCACATGTGCTCGGATGTCTTTAGTATAAAATCACTACAGCTGATGTGTGTTGCGTTCGTATCTTTTAGGAGGACATGGATTTGAAGGCCCTTGGTTTTGACGTGGCCGAAGGAGTGAACGAACCTTACCTTCCTGGAGACTGTGGAATTTTTGTTACCAAAGTCGATAAAGGAAGTATTGCAGATGGGCGATTAAGGTATACTGTGGGTAGTTAGTCCAAACCTTTGAGTTGAATTGAATACTTTATTTGAATGGAATACTTTTATTTTGGCCAAGTGTGAGTAGACACACAAAGAATTTGTCTCCGGTGAGGAAGCTCTCGGTGTACATGAAAAGCAAGAGAATAATGATAAATCATAATAATCGTTTGTCGTTATAACTTATCATTATCAATATGTGAATCTCTTCATATGTAAATAAATTCATGAAGAACCGCAAGGGTAGCTGGCGGTTACATTTGCACATAAATATGAAGCCCCACTTATCTTTCAATGTCCAAAAGAAATTGAATAGCTAAAATGTTTTGTTGCGTCTTGATTGCCAAAGATGGCAAAATGAATGGAGAAATTTTAAGATGTGCCAATGTTGGACGAAGATGATGGGCGGTCTGTTGAATCTTGCAAGGGAGAAATGTTTGTTGAAAGAGAATGACTGTCTATCATGGCATGATTCTGCTCATTTTGTGGTAGGGACAATGATGGGATTCAGCCGGTTCAGGCTGGAAGTTAAATTGCTGGCTGGCCCCGCCCCTTCCCATCCCGCCCCTTCCAGGAGTCCCCAGGTAAGTGCAGGAAAGCCACCTAGGCCCAAAATGGGGCGCGGGGGTGGTGGTGCGTTCCCCCCCCCGGCCCATTTTTGCTCCCAGGTGGGTGCAGGAGGCCGAATCTGCTTGTCACACCCCCTGGCCATGGCCACGCCCATCCAGCCGGTCATTAGGTCAGAGAACCGGTGGTTAAATTATTTGAATCCCACCGCTGGGTAGGAACATGAAATTCGGACTTATTTGGAGAAACACCAGGGTGCAGTTAAAAAGAAGGGCTTAAGAAGCAGATATTCTAAAATGAGAAGGTTAAGAGTGAATGAGCAGAGAACGATTGTGGATTCTGAACTAAGCTGCGTGACCTTTTAACAAAGGTATTGCTTAGCGCATTGTAAGCCGCCCTGAGTCTCCGGAGAAGGGCGGCATATAAATCAAATTTTAAAAAAAAAGGTATGTTTGAGGTGACTTGGTCATGTCGAAGGTCATGCGTTTTGCTCTAATTAATCAGGGTGAATGATTGGCTCCTGAAGATAAATGACGTGGACCTCACCAACAAAGACAGAAAGCAAGTAATAAAAGCAGTCCTTAATGGCGGAGGAATTATCAATATGCTGGTCCGCCGAAGAAAGTCCTTAGGAGGGAAAGTGGTAACTCCGCTGCACATCAACCTTTCAGGCCATAAAGGTGAGGCCCTCGTGCTGCTTCAGAGTCAGTGGTTATTTATAGATGCCGTCAGCTAACAAATATGCAGAGATCCAGTCAATATTTCCACTGCATTCTTCATGAATTTGCTACCAAAGTGAATAAGTACGTTGGTATGCTTTCCTGGTTTCAGACTAAAATGCCTGTTATGGAAGATGTTTTCTACTATGTATTAGTGATCGAAAACATCAGATTTCATTTTTGCAACAGCCGTGGTTGTATCACTATGTGCAGTAGCTCTTCGGATACTGACTTTCCTAAATTAGAAGGTAAAGTCTGCTGTCAGTCAAACTCAATTCTTTAGTTGGATTCATGGATTTCAATGTATACAGTATTTTTTTTGGTAGTAATAGGGTATCATTCTGGATAATTTTTTTTTTAAAAAAACCTTCCCAATTTAGCCTGATCCCTGATGTTTCTTGGAGTTTTTCCATCCAAATCCTGACGAAACCAGGCTTTGCTTAGTTCCCAAAGTCACCCAACTGCTGTCAGATGTTGAGAACTCAAAACAAAATTGTGTGTTTTCAGGAGTTACCATTGTAGCCTTACATCAAAGATTTCACCTTTGGGTAAGATAGAAACAAGGTAGATCAGCTGCTCAAATGAGAGATACATACCAAAGGTACTGTATTGGTTAAATTAGAAGAGAAATAAGCAGTTCATTTCTGTAAAGATCCGAGGTGGCACAGTGGTTAAAATACAGTACTGCAGGCTAACTCACTGCTCACTGCCAGCAGTTCGATCCTGACCAGCTCAGGGTTGACTCAACCTTCCATCCTTCCAAGGTTGGTAAAATGAGGACCCAGATTGTTGGGGGCAAGATGCTGACTTCGTAAACCGCTTACCAAGGACTGTAAAAGAACAGTGAAGCAGTATATAAATCTTAAGTGCTATTGCTATTGACTCAGCCTTCCATCCTTCTGAGGTCAGTAAAATGAGGACTCAGATGGTTGGGGGCAAGAGGCCAACTCTGTAAACCGCTTAGAGGGGGCTGTAAAGCACTGTGAAGCGGCATATAAGTCTAAGTGCTATTGCTATAAAGAAAACGTTTTAAATCTTCAGAATTCTGAAAATGTATGCTGAATGCTGAATAGATTTGGGTGACTGAGGCTGGTTCAACCAGTTCAGGCTTGGTTTTGCAAGGAAGCAGGCATGAAACAATCACACACACTCTCATCCTTCAAACATGGCTATAGCAAAGACTGATTGGGCATGCCAGTAAGCTTTGTGTGAGAGGATTGCTGAAAATTCACCTTGGCTTCTCCATTTCAGATAGTGGAATTGGTCTGGAAAATGGAATCTTTGTCGCCACTGTAACGAGTGGCAGTCCAGCTGCCAAGGATGGATCCCTCACTGTGGGAGATAGGATCATTGCTGTAAGTTACTTTTCAATCTTTTCAGAGTAGAAATTCAGATCAGATGAGAGGCGAAGGCTGTTTGGCCAGAAGCAGAAATAATTTCTTCTAAAGTTACCTGCTAAGTATTAAGTGGTTGGTAAGCAAACATACTGGTTGTAAGTTACTTGGTAAATGCTGCAGTCATGCTGGCTTGCTATGGGCACAGTTTTGCCAAAAACTGGAAATAGCTGTTGATTTTTGGAAAAACAGTCATAAAACATGTTGCAAACAGCTATAAATGTGGCCGGGTTTCCAGACACCCAAAGTGGAGTCGTATGACCATGGAAGGGGCCTAACCATCAGAACTTCTAATCAAGGTGGTAAGTCCTATTTTTCTGGTCAGTTGTCATTTTTAAGGATCGCTAAATGGCTGTTTGTAAATCAAGGGCTCTCTGTAGAAAAACTGCAGCACTAAATAGGTTTAGCGGAAAAAAGGAGTGGAGTGAGAAAAGAACAGTAATTGAATTGGAAGGGACCTTGGAGGTCATCTAGTCCAACCCCCTGCTCACACAAGAGCCCTATACTAGGGATTCGAACTGCCAAACTGCCGACCTTTCTGATCGATAAGCTCAGTGTTTTAGCCACTGAGCCACCTAGCCAGGCATCCTGGCCCTTTCCATATACAAGGCATGGTCTGAACCTATTTGCAGGTCTCCTTGCCTGTTTTGTTCCTCTCCTTCCAAAACACGTGTGTGTAGGGGAAAGGAGTGGCAGAACCTGGAGGCGGAGTTAAAAGAGGAATCAGCCTAGAACAGTGATGGCTAATCTCTTTGCTGTCGTGTGCCAAAAGCGGGGGGAGCGGGGTGTGTGTGTGTCGCGTGTGTGTCCACACCCATAATTCATTGCGCATGTGCACGCAACCCCCCCCACTCCCCACGCTTTTGGCATGCAATGACACAGTAGGCCCATTTTTCGCCCTTCCCAGGCTCCAGAGGCTTTCTTGAAGCCTGGGGAGGGCAAAAACGGCCTTCTCCATCCCATCGGAGGCCCTCCGGAGGCTGGAAATGGCCCGTTTCCTGACTTCCAGTGGGACCGGAAGGCCCGTTTTTCGCCCTCCCCAGATTCCAGAGGCTTTCTAGGAGTCGGGAGGGTTAAAATGGCCTTCCCCACCCACCCGGAGGCCGGAAACAGCCCGTTTCCCGACTTCTGGTGGGCCCAGAAGGCTTGGAAATCAGCTGGCCGGCATGCACATGTGCGCTGGAGCTAAGCTAGGGCAACGCTCGCGTGCCCACATATACGGCTCTGCATGCCATCACGGGCCCTAGAATCTCTACGTAGCTACAATGTGAATTCCATTGACTCTTTTCTAACTCCAACCAGGTGCTAACAGCTGAAAAGATTCCTGTGCATAATCTGTTAAGAAATAAATCAGTTTTAAGTGTACCTTCCTGTGTGGACCTGGTCTTTCATGCCCAACATTCTAGCTCAGAAAATTGCTCTCGCTTGCCTTACTACTCTAATACTGAAATTTGATGCAAACCATTGCTGTCGTTGTGTGTAATAGTTCCCTTGGTTGCCCAAAGTAGAATTACCTGTCCAAGCGCTAATAAAGGAATAGACCAGAAAATCTTCTTTCGAAGAACTGGGTGTGGAAAGTGAACCTGGAAGACCAATATTGAATACAGTGAATATTCTAGTATTTTCTTGATGGTTGCATGCTTGATACTCTTCCTTTTCCTGCAGATAAACGGCATTGCACTAGATAATAAGTCACTGACCGAATGTGAAGCTCTTCTGCGAAACTGCAGGGAGTCCCTTACGCTTTCGTTAATGAAGGTGAGCGGGAATAAAGAGTGCATAGTGTTTTGTCGATGAATAATATTTATTTAATAGGAGAGGATTCCAATCATTGTATCAACCACTTTTGTAGTGGCTTTCTTATATTCCACCATGCACAATCCCCGTTTCTTCCTCAGAAGACAATAATGACATACCAGACACATACCAGTGTCAAACTCGATTTCATTGAGGGCTGCATTAAGATGTTTTACCTTGTGGGGCAGGGCAGGGTGGGCATGGGCAGGCATGGCCAGCTCAACATCACTCATGTCAGGGGCGCTTATGGTGGCCCAAGAGCTCTGCCAGTGAAAACAGGCTCCCGAGCTCTGTTTTTGGTTGCGGCGGCCTCCTGCAACCCTTTGCCAGGGAAAATGGCGCTTTGGAGGATCGCATGCAGCCCTCCCAAGCTCCGTTTATGCTGGCAGAAGTACCACAGGCCAGTCCTTTGCTGTTTCCAGAGCGGCCCTGCAGGGCAGATCTAAGCACCCCGTGGGCCGGATCCGTCCCCCGGGCCTTGAGTTTGACACCCCTGCTCTAAAGCCATCAAAATTTTGGCCATTCATAGATCTTAGAGTAGTGAATTCCACTTCTCTGTGTTTATTTTAAATGTATATACTCTATGGGATTTTACAAGTTTTAGCCCAACACTTCTAGAAGGCTTAGGGTAAGGAATCTATGTTAGCGGTTTTTTCCCCATCCCATAATTAATAAAAAATAATACAAATGACAGAATAAATTCCAAAAATCAATGTATTTTATATGATTGTCAGAATTCAGCTTTTCTGGTAATAGTATAAAGGTACAAAATATTAATGTATTTTAGTGCAGCATACCCACAGCTTGGTAGATTAATATGTAAGTTTGGTACTGCTTTATCGTACAACCATATCTATAAATTCTGTAGCAGTAGCTTGCTAATTTCCTGCTGAAGTTGTTTCATCTCACGATTTAACTTTTTATTAGTTTATCAAAGTATAAAATACAAAGAAAAAAATATGGAAAAGTAAGAAGAAAGTGGGGGGGAAGAAGGGATATACCCATGTTTCCCTCAAAATAAGACCGGGTCTTATATTAATTTTTGCTCCAAAAGACACATTAGGGCTTATTTTCTGGTTAGGTCTTATTTTTGGGGAAATACGGTACTAAATGCATCCATCTGGCTGACAAACTTAACTGGGGCTTATTTTGGGGGTAGGGCTTATATTACGAGCATCCTGAAAAATCATGCTAGGACTTATTTTCCAGCTGGGTCTTATTTTCGGGGAAACAGGGTAGTGTAACGGGAGGGAAAAAAAGAAAAAGGCACCGACTTCTGACTTTCTTTAGCACAGTAGAAGGTAACAACATTACAACCACTACTTTTTGTCTTTACACAACAGTATGTACAAGCCATTTCTATAACAATAAGCCCGTCTAGTTTACAAAAACAGAATCAAAGTTTCATTTTTCCCCCCCATTGCAAACACCAAAAACTGGAAGCAATTTCAAACTAAAGTCAAAATTAAATATAATGTCTTATTTGGATAAAAGAATCCATTTAGCCATCTCTGCTTCTCTTTGCCATGGGGGATTAATATATCATCCATTCTCATATGTTCAAATTTAGTCCATAATATTTTACAAACTCTGGAATATTATTCAGCATGACTTAAAAGAACCAGCAGACATGCATATACGTATATACTCGTGTTGTTTCTTCTCCACCTAGGTTTATCCTCAGAGCTCAAGTTCCTCTTGGAGTGGGCAGAACATATTTGAAAACCTTAAGGATTCGGAGAAGATCTCCAATGGCCGGGTTCACGCATCCGAAGTACAAGTTCAAAATAAAAGAAACTTAAAGCACAACAGTTCAACCCAAACGGATATTTTCAACCCAAACATAATGGATGTCAAGAAGGACCAGAGCGATCAAGAGAACGGTTTATACTGCAGTCTGAAACCGTTCTCCAGTAGTGTTTTACATAGTGACTCCCATCGGAACACGGCCCACGAGTGCCACAGTAATTCGGAACACAGCCTCGAATCCTTTGGTCCAGACGGGTATGGAGACCCAAGTTATGGGATAGTGAACTTGGACAACCAGAGGCTTTCCTTTGATCCCACAGTTGCGGACTGCATTGTTCTGGAGAGCGCGTTAGACAAAGGACCAGGTGGGAAGCACAGTGGTGGCACGTGGCCCAAAGTCGTGGTCAACATAGCTCCGGCAGAAACGGAAAAATTCTCAGTGTACAAAAAGCCCAAACAAAGAAAATCCATCTTTGACCCGGACACTTTCAAAAGACCTCTGACGCCTCCCAAAATGGATTATCTGTCTCCCAATCCAATGTTGGGATTGTCAGCCCAATCTTCAAAACCAGAAGCCATCTCCACTCCTCCAACGCCTCCGACCAGAAGCGATTCCATTAAATTTAAACACAAACAGCAGGCCAGTTCTGCCTCGGAGTCTACCGTGACAATGGGCTCCCCCCCTCCTAGTCCAGCTGCAGTCCAGCCCCCGCTTTCCATTGAACTGAAGCCAGACTCTTGTCTTCTCAAGGGGCGAGGTAGACCTTCAGGACATTACTACAGGGAAGAGGGGGTAGATCCCGGACATTTGCCCTCGAGAAAATCCTGTGAAGAGGACGTTGGCTTTCAAAGAGTGGAAGAGCCTGAAATCAAAAGGCCAAGACCCAAATCTGCTCCCGCCTTCAGGCATAAACTAACCCCCGTGCCCATTCCTAATCCATCTCAGCAGGTAGATATGGGAGCTTGAAAAAGGATCCTGGCCAATCCTTCCCCCAGTGATTTTAGGGTTTAAAATCGGGAGTGTCAAACTCGTGTCGTCACGGCGCTAAACTGGGCATGGCCAGCGTGTGACGCATCCGGCCTGCGGGCCGTGAGTTTGACAACCCTGGTTCAAATGATCTTTTCTGACATCAAAGTGTATTGCATCACACAAAAGTTAACTTCTTGTTCAAGGTGTGCCACAATGCTTTTTGAAGAGGATCTAGGATATGGCTAACCTTTTTGCATGCGTTCCATAGGTTCGCCATCACAGATCTAGGACAACTCACTGCAGCCAACTCACCATGGCTAACTTGCCACAGCCAGCTCTCTGCAGGCCAACTCTTCATGGAACAAGAGTTGCACCAATATCAAAGGATTGGTGGAATAGAATCATTAAATAAAAGATGCCAAAGGAGGGGCATAATGAAATGTGAAAGACAAAAATACAGTAGTGGCCAAAATTTTGGGGAAAGTGTATTTTTGAGGTTTGATGGCTAATAACACGACTTTTTATTTTTTGGAGTTTCAAGGTAATCCTATTCCACTGCTGGAGTGGCCTGGGAATAGCCCAGACCTTAACCCAATTGAAAATCTATGGAGCCAACTAAGAAACTTATTAGTCAGAAGCAACCCAGCAATAAAACCCAGTTAATAGAAGCAATCATTCAATCTTGGTTTCACATTAGAACAGCTGCAGAACTCAAAATACTTGGTTTACTCTGTGGGAAGAGGTTGTAAGGCTGTAATTCATGCTAAAGGTTACCCAACTAAAGATTAATTGATGTGGTGATAATTTCTGTATATCTCATTTTTTCTATGGTGATAATTTTTGTTTTTTCTACGTGTTTCACTTTTCTTCTTTATACCGTAACTGCTATTCTAATAGCAAATCCTTCCTAAAAGTTACTGCAGTACATTATTGATTCAATTATCTTTCCATTGATATATAATTTTATGGTACTACTCCAAAAAAAGTAGTGTTATTAGTTAGTTTTAGAAAATACACTTTTCCCCACAAGGTTTCCACAATTTTGGCCACTACTGTAATTAAATTGAATTGTTGAATTGTCTCACAGCGTCCTGCGGTGAGTTGGCCACAGTGAATCGTCCTGTGGCAAGTTGGCTGTGACGAGTTGGCCACAGAGTAGGAGTTCTTTTTTCAGCTCATTTATACTAAGTCTTTCTGCTTTTATTTATTTATTTTTAAATTTGTTTTAAAAAAATTTAAGCATTTAAAAATGCTTAAAATTTTAAAAAATGCTTTGTGAATAGGAGCAAAGGAATCTCTACCATTTGCTGGTCTGTGACCCTAATAAAAATTAATTGATTAAAGGAATCTTTATCTCAGGAAAAAAACCAGTTGAGCTTGACATTATTGTTAAGTGTTCACTGGTGTTTCTCTGTACAGGTAGTCCTCGACTTACGATCGCTGTTGAGCCCAAAATGTCTGTTTCTAAAAGTGAGACAGTTGTTAAATGAATTTTGCCCCATTTTACAACCTTTCTTAACAAACAACACTTAACAACCAACAGATTGTCAAGTGAATCACTGCATTTGTTAAATTAGTAGAATGGCTTTTAAGTGAATCTGGCTTCCTCATGGACATTACTTGCCAGTAGGTCGCAAAAGGGGATCAAATGACCCCCCGGACACTGCCACCGTCATAAATACGAGTCAGTTGCCAAGCGTCTGAATTTTGAACACATGACTGTGAGGATGCTGCGACGGTTATAAGTGTGAAAAACAGTCACAAGTCACTTTTTTTTCAGCATCCTCGTAACTTTGCACTGTCACTAAATGAACTATTATAAGTCTAGGACCACCCGTAAATGGCATTTACATCCACATTTAAGGTTGTTTGTGAGATGATAAATCATTCAACTCTGCAGCTTGAAGCTTGAGACCCGAATTAAAGCAAAAACTTAGTTATAACTCAGCTCTGTTTAAATTTCCTGGTACTTGCTCCCAATATACTGTATTTTTCGGAGTATAAGACGCACCTACCTTTTTTGGTGAGGAAAAGAAGAAAAAGGAATCTCCCTCTGCCTCTGCCTCTGAGCAATTTTGCCTCCTTGCAGTAAACAGCAAACAGCCTGTTTAACTTTCATTTTCATTTTCAGAATAGCTTGATTAGCACAAGGAAAAAAAAAAAATCTGCTCCAGCAATTTACCTCTTTGCAGCAAGCAGCAGAGCCCTGCGCAAAACAGCTGAGAGCAAATCAGCTGAGAGTCGGGAGGCCGATCCAATCAACTTGTGCTAATTAGGCTGTGCTAAAGCTGAAAGGAGCTGTTTTGTTTGCAAGGAGGTAACTGCTGGGAGGCAGAGGCCAAAGAGTGGGGGCCAGTGGGTGGGTGGGGCTACATTTGGTGTATAAGACGGACCTAAATTTTCACCCCCTTTTAGGGGGGAAAAAGGTGCATCTTATACTCCGAAAAATACAGTTATTTATTTTGAATTGGGATCTAAATCGCATATGCCCCAAGCAAAAGGACTTGAATTGTTCCTTTAAGCTACATTGTCCATTTGGATAATAGCATTATTTTCTAGACGTTGAATTATTTTTACTTAGGCATTTCCCTCCCCCTGGAATATGGATCAGCAGATAGGTAGATGGAGCATTTACATGTGCCACTTAGCAGTGTAAACACCTGCATCTGGGTTACAGTTTTGCAGCAAAATCACCCAGAGAAATCTATGTGTGATTGTTTCAGACTATTCTGTAGAAAAATCCCACCAAAACACCTATTACTTGAAAACAATATCCAGTAAACCTGAGCCTTCCCCGAGGCCTTCCCGTAACACGATGTTTTTCAGCTGAAAAAAACATTGTCTCACACTGTATATTTAGAAAGCAGATTAACCTGCTCCCATTCTCTTTGTCTGAATGTAGAATGTTCACAGTGTCCCCAGATATTTTATGACAACTCATTGGTTGCAGACTGTTTTCAGTAATCAATCCCTGGGGATTGAAAAATAGCTTTCGGAGTGGAAAGAAAAAATTAAAATATAGCACACTCAAATGTCTACAGAGATTCTTAATCATCCAGGGCATATCTGTCCCAAAAGGCAACTGGACTTTTTGTTTTTTGGGGTGTGTGTGTGTGTTGTTTTCCTTGAAACCATTTTGCTTCTCATCCAAGAAGCTTCTTCAGTTCTGAACAGAAGGTGTGCCTTTTGGAAAGCACCTTTGGATAGATACCAGATACCCTACAAAGGTATCCAGCCAATATGGCTGCAGAAGGCTGTTTCTATTGTTCCCATATGTAAATAAAACATTCATTTTGTTTGTTTCTCACTATAATTCCACCAATGTTAAGGATTTGAAAGCAAAGCAAGCCCAATTTTCCTTAAAAAAAATACTCTGAAGGTGGCCAGGGTCAAATGAGAAGAACTGAATGGAAAGGGATAAAGTATGACGATAACAAGTCATGAAAATGTTATAAACAAAACCCTGTTTTGTGTATAACAAAAGAGGCAGAAAATTTGACAATCTTCATGCCAGGTTTGATTATAAACACTTCATATATATATGTATACATCAGAGGTGAAATTCAAATTTTTTTACTACCGGTTCTGTGGGCATGGCATAGTGTGGCTTGGTGGGCGTGGCTTGGTGGGCGTGGCAGAGGAAGGATACTGCAAAATCCCCATTCCCTCCCCACTCCTGAGGAAGGGTACTGCAAAATCTCCATTCCCAGCACACACTGGGACCAGCCAGAGGTGGTATTTGCTGGTTCTCCGAACTACTCAAAATTTCCACTACCAGTTCTCCAGAACCTGCTGGAGTTCACCCCGGTATACATACTTACTTACATACATACATACGTACATACAGACAGACAGACCTGGCATGAAGATTGACAAATGACCATGCTCCACAGTGATGACCATGGCAGCATTGCCATGATTATATGATGAAAATTCAGATAATTGGCAACTGGATCATTTTTATGACGGTCAAAGTATCCCGGAGTCATGTCATCCCCTTTTGCAACCTTCTGACGAGCAAAGTCAATGGGGGAAACCCGATTCACTTAACAGTGACTCACTTAATAACTGCGTTATTCACTTAATAACTGTAGCAATCCACTTAACAACCCTGGCAAGAAAGGTCATAAAACGGGGCAAAACTTGCTGAACAAATATCTCGCTTACTAACAGAAATTCTGGCCTCAATTGTGGCCGTAAGTTGAGAACTACCTACAGTAGTTGTTTGTGAGTAGAAATTGTACCCATGTGTGTTTAAGTATTAAATCTGACCTGGATCCATTTCGCTTGGGAAAAAAAATACAACAGTATTCATTACATTGATATTAATTCTCTGCTCTTACCATTGTAATATTGAACATAGTAAACCTATTCATTTTTCCCTCTTAACATATCTTCTAATAAGAATATACCATATTTTTCGTAGTATAAGATGCTCCGGACTATAAGACGCACCTACCTTTTTTGGTGAGGAAAACAAGAAAAACGAATCTGCCTCCCAGCAATTTTGCCTCATTGCAGCAAACAGCCTGCTTTACTTTCGTATTTGTTTTCAGCATAGCTTGATTAGCACAAGAAAAAAAAAACTGCTCCCAGCAATTTACCTCCTTGCAGCAAGCAGCAGAGGCCCACGCAAAACAGCTGAGAGCAAAACAGCTGAGAGTTGGGAGGCTGATCCAATCAACTTGTGCTAATTAGGCTGTGCTGAAGCTGAAAGGAGCTGTTTCTTCTTGCTGCTTGCTGCAAGGAGGTAAACTGCTGGGAGGCAAAGGTCAAAGGGTTTTTTTTTAGGGGGGAAAAGGTGCATCTTATACTCAGAAAAATACGGTAATATTAATATTAAGCATAATAATCCTAATAGTCATAATAATAACAATCATCATATTGTTTACATCTCTATCTTAACATATTTTCTAGTTTTCTCTAATCTTCTTTTATTTCCAACTTCCATTTTTATTCTCTATCGATCGATAAAATAATTCCCATATCATATAATATTCAATTTATTGTGAAACGCAACACCCCTTTATAAATTGAGGACCCAGATTGTGGGGGCAATAAGCTGACTTTGTATAAATATACAAAAGTATGAAGGCTATTGCTTAACGCATTGCAAGCCGCCCTGAGTCTCCGGAGAAGGGCGGCATATAAATCAAATTAAAAAAAAAAAAATTGAGATTGTGGCAGTCACTCTCATCATGGGTACAGGCTTCTGTTGAAATATTGCCGATAAATATAGAAAGATGCTTTGGATTTTCCTCTCCAGGTACAGAAATACATTCCAGCGAGTGAAGAGCTCCTGTCACCAGAGGTACAAGAATGGCCGACCTATTCACCCAAATGGGCCAGTCGGCATAGCGACGGTTTTGTGTCGGCCTCTTTATACTCCGGAAGCTTGTCGGGAGGTTAGTACCCGCGATTGGCACGTGACGACCCTGTTCATTTCAGACTTTATTTTGTTGCATGACCCCTGCCCATCTACAGATACACCTTGGCTTACAAACTGTTCATGTAGGGACCGGTTTTTTTTTTTTTAAAAGTGATTTATACAACCATTTGTTTATCCCAAAAGGTGCTTTCTCTAAAGGAAATTGGACTTTGTTTTTCCTTGAAGACGTTTCGCTTCTCATCCGAGAAGCTTCTTCAGTTCAGCTTCTCAAGAACCGAAGAAGCTTCTTGGATGAGAAGCGAAACCTCTTCAAGGGAAAAACAAAGTCCAGTTGCCTTTTGAATAAGCACCTTTGGGATGCTTGGAGGACTGAGAAGCTCCATAAACAACCATTTGTTTAGTTGGAGTTACAACAGCACTGAAAAAGGGAATTATGACCGTGGTAGTATCCCCATGGTCATGTGATGAAAATTCAGTTGTTACGGTAACTGGCATGCATTTATGATAGTTGCAGAGGGTTAGGGGATCCCCTTTGGTGACCTTCTGATGAGCAAAGTCCATGGGGAAGCTCAATTCAACTACCGTAACAACCGAGTTACTAGCTTAACAGCTGCAGTAATTCTCTTTAACAACTTTGGCTAGAAAGTTGGTGAAATGAGGGGAAATTCAATTAACAGCTGTCTTATCAATTGAAATTTGGGACTTTATTTTATTCTATTATTTTATCATTTTTATTTCTTTTATTGTATTTATTACTTTCTTTTATTTCTTTTATTATTATTTTATTTTGTTTTGTTTAAAAAATTATTGGCCGCCATCCCAGGGGTGAAATCCAGCCGGTTCTAACAGGTTCTGGAGAACTGGTAGCGGAAATTTTGAGTAGTTCGGAGAACCGGCAAATACAACCTCTGGCTGGCCCCAGAGTGGGGTGGAAATGGAGATTTTGCAATATCCTTCCCCCAGGAGTGGGGTCTGAATGTAGATTTTGCAGTATCGTTCCCCTGCCACACCCACCAAGCCACGCCCACAGAACCGGTAGGGAAAAAATTTGGATTTCACCCGTGCTGCCATCTTACAGCAGGGTAACTCTGGACAGCTGACTGTTCCATAAAAGCTAAAACATAAAAAGTTAAAATCAGTCATTAAAACCAAAGACACATGGGAAGTGTGTGTGTGTGGGGGGGGGAGGTGGGATCTATTGTTACTCAATCAACCCCCTCCATTGTGCTGATTCCCCCCAGAGCCACGTCTTTAGGCCCTTAAGAAAAGATAAGTGGGTTGGGGCCAACCTCACATTGGGGAGAAGAGCCAAAGCAGAGAAGGCCCTTCTGGATCCCGCCAGCTGGAATAATCGGACTGATGTGCCTCCTCTGCCAGCACGAGTGATACGAGCCAGTGGGGTGAGACGGTCCCTCAAGTAACTTGGACTCATGCCATAAAGGGCTTTCAAGGGGATCACCAATACTTTGAATTGCACCTGGAAGCTAGGGGATACCTGTATGGTTGGGACAGCTTTTCTGCAGCTATCCGTTAACTATTACGGCTGAGCTACAGTACTGCAGAAGTTACTCTTCTAACTTCTCTTTGCTCTTGTAGGTACCGTCCCGAGAAACATTGCGCCATGCTCTGCTGTGACAGCTGTGATGAGAAATCCTATTTACACAGCCTGGAGTCATAGAATTGCCACCAGCAATTGCTCATCGGCAGCCAATCAATATTGCCACCAACACCTGCATCCCAGGTATTTAGATAAGAAGAATCTTGAACCAAAGCACAATCACCTCAGTCGTAGCATTCTTCTTCCAATTATGGTCAGCTGAAAGGTTCAGAGAAGCCTTCAAGGAGGCATCAAGTGTGCTGTCCCACTCACTCACTCACACACACATGTAATGGTGGATTAGTGGGTTTATTAATATTCCCCAGCAGTTCCCTTCACTAAAAACCCAGAACTGTCCCAATTGCGTCCAGCCACAAGCAGACCAATGCTAGGCCCCAGAGCAATGGCCAGTGAGTCCACAACGCAGTTGAAAGTTTCCCAAACAAGATAAACCCACCAGGCAAAATTAAATCCACAGTGCAAGAGGGTTCACAAGGCAAGAAAAGTCCAGAATTCAGAAGACACAATCCAAGTCACGACACAGTGTCGATCCAAAGCAAGGCAAGAATCACAACAACTAGAAAACACAACAGCTAGGAAGTGAACACGTTGTTCCCAGCATTGCCTCCATCTGTCTGCTGTGCTAAATAGCTAGCTTCCGGTGCAGCCCATCAAGAGGGACGAGGATGCCTCCATGCGAGTAGTTAGGCTGACCTTCTCTGCTCCTGCCTTTTCTCTGCCCCGCGTGTTCTTGGATCAGGTGCAGCAGGCAGTTCCTCTTCCTCATCACTGCAGCTGGGTTCTTTCTCCACCTGAAGCCTCAGGGCTGTCCTGCTGCAGCCAAATTTCTGTCAGATGTCAGTTTGGAGCCATTGACCAACTCCCCTCCTGAAGTGCCTGGGACTGGTTGATCCTCCTCCCAGTTGACATCTGGAGAGGTATCTGGGGAAGCATCTGGAGGAATCATCACAATCAAGCCAACTCATTAGGATCGCCCAGAAATTTAGATCCAGAATGAACGTGAAGGAGGGTGCAGCTTAGGTCAAGAACTTTTTAAAGTAGCTGGATCCTTTCCTCAAGTTACCTACATGCCCTCCACAGCTGACCTACACATATATATTTGATTTAAGGTTTGGCCTGAGACTGTATCCTTATGGACAAGAGGCTATCAAAATGACAGCTCACATCCTAATATATTTGTACCTTCTATAACGGGTATCAAACTCAAAGCTCGGGGGTCAGATCCGGCCCACAGTGTGCTTAGATCGGGCCGCCCTGAAAACAGCGGACCAGCCCACAGTGCCACTACCAGCAAAAATGGAGCCAGGGAGGGCTGCAGAGCCCTCCCAAGCTCTGTTTTCACTGGCAGAGGGTTGCAGGAGGCTGTTGCGGCCAAAAACGGCCCGGGGGGCACATGTGGTCTCCCTGTGCTCCGTTTTTGCTGACAGAGGGCTAGCAAAACAACCAAAAAACAAAACAAAAAAGGAGAAATGTTTCTCCTTTTGCATTTGAGCATCCAAGAAGGGACAGGAAAGGAGAAGGGAAAAGAGGAAAGACAAATAAAAAGAAGGGAAGATGGGAAGAGAGCAATGAAGGAAAAAGAAGGAAAGAGGGGAAGGAAGAAGAAAGAATGAATAGGGAAGGGGGAAGGAAGGAAGGAAGGAAGGAAGGAAGGAAAGGAAGGAAGGAAGGAAGGAAGGAAGGAAGGAAGGAAGGAAGGAAGGAAGGAAGGAAGGAAGGAAGGAAGGAAGGAATGCCCTCAGGCCACCTGGGTCACCACAGGTGCCCCAACATGAATGATATTGAGCTAGCCACGCCCACCCCAGCCATACCGATCTCGGTTCCCCGAGGTCAAATACAACCCTGATGCAGCCCTCAATGAAATCAAGTTTGACACCCTTGTTCTGTAAGGACTCATGGGTGGCCCATCTCATAACACCTCACCTGATAAAATACCTGGGAAACATTCATATTTTTTTTAATGTACAATTGTTATTGGCTCAATCAGATGTAGTTTCTTTGAATGTAGCTGAATTTTGTTATGCTGCCTGCAAAACTGGCAGGCTTTGACTGCCCTCTGGCAATCCACCACCAATTGTTAAATATTATATTGTCTTTTTTATTTTATTTTGGGTTTTTTTTTCCTTTTGTTTTATCACAATTCTTATTTGTCACACTGGTGTGTCATCGTAATAAAATTACTGCAATTTAAGATTTGGTCCCAGACAAAAGCATTGTCAGGTTTCCAAGTGATGAAACCCATTCAAAAAAAATAAATAGGCAAAGTCCATCTTCCAAAACAAATTTCTCTTATTTAGGTAGGCATCAAATTGGCAAAGACTGTTGTAATTCCGGATCTGACACAAACTGGAATGACACCACCTAATATTGAAAATTAGAAACATCCCACAAAAGTCATGTTCCCTAATAAAAGCAAAATCAACATTGGCCGGTAGTCTTCAAACTCCAGCTTCAGCTCTCAGCAACGACAGCCTCCGTTCCCACGGGAAAGAAGATCACCTAGCCAAAACAATGCTCACTATCTATTCCCTCCTCCCACCTTAAGAATGTGGCGAGCCCAAGAAACCCCCCTTACAAAACAGAGAGAAAGAAAAGGAATAAATGAGTATAATACAAAGCTAACTAAAATGGCTACACATGTCAATTTCAGGTTCAACAACCATCACACATTTTGCTATGGTTCAGCCTCTCTACATAGCTCCCCTCCCTCCCTCCCTCCCTCCCTCCCTCCTTCTCTCTCTCTCTCCCTCCCTCCCTCCCTTCCCGGAAATTGATTACTCAGCGATGGACTGGTGAATCCCCCCATTCTACCATTTTTAAAATATATTTCATATCATATTTATGGGACAGAGATGTGTCTTATTCCATTTATGCCCCGTGATGTTGCTGTGGGGTGCCTGTGAGCGAAAATCCAATTTTCTGTATTTCAGTACTCAACACCAAGGACATCTCAGTTTGGATCTGAGTCACAAGCACACCAGTGAGTGCTCTGAAAATACACGCTCCAGATCATCCCACGGTTCAAATTCACTGCCTTCTAGTGCAAGACTGGGTAAGATGTCTGAAAGAAGAAATGGTCCGCTCTGTTTCTGTAGCCTCAGTGCATTGTGGATATTGGCTTCCCTTGAAAGAGGGACATTGTTGGGGACAGGAGAGCTCTTGAAGTGTTTTAGAGAAGGTCTTTTTGGGGGTGGTGAGGCCACCACTTTTCCACCTTCTATCCTCTCCACCTTTTATCCTCTCACAAACGTCAATAAATCTTTCTTTTTATGATCCTGTAATCCCTTAATTTGGGGTGACCGGATGGAGCTGAGAGTTTACTAACCGGATGCCCTTCCTGATGCCTATGTGAAGTTCACAGCACATTTTTTTTTCTTTGCACCATAAGAGAGAAATATCTGCCGCTACCTACGATTGAACTCTCAACCTTCCGAGTGGGAGGCGAGCGTCTTCACCACTAGGCCCCCATGCCCCTCTCACACAAACCTCAATATGACCCACAAATGTTACGTATTGATTTGATTGATTGGCATTATATCTGATTTATTTTGATTGATTGGCATTGTCCCTATAGACTGGTTAGCATTGTATCTTTTTGATAATACACTGGCATCAATGTATAGTTATTAACCTGTGTGTTTGTGCATAGTTAACATGCAGAACTGGTGTGTCTGTAGCTAAGCATAAAACCTACCCAGGTAGGTTTTCTGCTTTGCTACACATAAAACACGTAGGGAACAAAGATTCTATTTTAATTGCAAAACAGGGAGACTTCTAGATGAGAAACTTTAAAAAGGGATAGAAGAGTTGTATATAAGAGGCTTCCAGCCTACTTTTGAGTCCATCCGTAAGGGCAAAATATAATATTTTGTCCACTTGACCATGCAGCAAAGGTCACTTAAAGTTGATGATGAGATCAGCACTTTTTGGAGAGAGGGGCTTCTAAGAGATGAGGAGAGGCTGCCCTCTACTCCTAAATCGATTATTTATTAATTATTTTAAAAAGATGCCCTCCGATCCTGTATTTGATTGAAGTAACTCTATGTTTAAATCGGTGGAGCTATTTTCATAAACTCAAATTTGGCCCAATCCAAATGAGATTTTTTTACTAAGTAAAACTTGCTTCAAAGAGTCTCATTACCAACCTAGCTGGTTCCTTGAAACTTAAATGAATTTATTTCTTTTTTCCTCCCTCATTTTCCATTTCCAAGTAGGTTCCTCCAGCAATTTACAGTATAGAACAGAACGAATAAAAATACCTTTGACACCAAGGTACCCAAGGTCCATCATTGGTTCTGACAGAGGTAAGTAATTTTTCCTACTTTCTTCTTTTCCATCTTTTTTTTTAAATGAAGAATTTTACCGTAAGAACAACAGACACACATTTCTACATCTTACAGTCAATTTTCCTTTCATCCCACATCAAAGCTATTCACTAGGATTGTGTAAAATCCCCATGAAAACCCATTAATTCCATCACACTTTTTTTTGTGTGTGTGCCTTAGTTTCTTTCAGCTATTAAATAATACGGAAACTCATCTGAAAAAATGTTGATGGTAACTGTCCCCTCTTTACATACTGTGTTATGGAAGGACAGTTTCCTTCCACCCATCATATATTATGGTTGCAAGCTCATTTCCTGACATCTTGGCACCATATATCAGAAAGAGTATGGAGAGGAAGGGGGAGGGGAAGGAAGGGAGTGAGAGAGAGATTGCAGAGATACACTTTTGGTGGAAATCCAGTCTAAAATGCTCGGAGGTAATCCCGTAGGAACGTGGGAGCTTCTGTCTTATGTTCATGAAATGTAAGTTTGCACCTAATCAACGTGGATCTTCCGTCTGTCGTTTATGCAGGTTCCTTGTCTCATTCCGAATGTAGCAGTCCCAGCTTGGTAACTCCTCCCCAGTCACCCCTTAACTTGGAGACCTCCTCGTTTGCCAGTAGCCAATCACAAAATTCTCTTTCCACCTTGCCCAGGATTTCGGTGAGCCCGGTCTCAATGGGGCAACGTCGAAAAGACAAGTAAGTCATAGTGGAGTTGATGCCAATGCTTCATCTCAAGAGGGAAAGAACTTCGCCTGGTCAAGTTCCATTCCTGGTGACCTCAAATCCGTGCAGTTTTCTTGATAACAATGAGGAAATGGTCTTCCATTGCCTTCTTTGGGAAAGTTTATTTCAGCTTCCTAGTCTTATTTTACATTGTCCACCTTTCCACCCATTCCTGGGTGGCATCTCATACAATCAATATTAACCCATTCCAATCTGGTTTAACTTTAGAACCCAGCAGGTTCAGCTGGCTGTAGCCACCTTCACATATCTTGTAGTGTGTGTGTTTTCTCTTTACGATCTTTGTAATCCCTTTTATCAGGGTGGATAAATGGAGCTGAGCATTTACTGGCCAATTGCCCTTCCTGACGCCTGTGCAGAGTTCGCAGCAGATATTTTCTCTTTGCGCCCTGATAGAGAAACATCTGTCTCTGCCTAGGATTGAACTCTCAACCTTCTGAGTGGGAGGCGAGCCAGCAGATTTTCCCAGCCTCAATCCCCTAATTGGCAAAAGGGCTTAATTTAATTATATGCCTTTAGAGACAAGGAAACTCCAAGCAGGAGTGAATAAGAAACTTAATCTGTAGAGTTAGGAGTGTTTTTATAAATTGTACGGAACGCTGTGTATTTATTATTTCTCACTTTTGCATCCTACATAAATTCGGGCTTATTCTGCCCAGAATTCGGGCAGAATATAAAACAAATACAGAAATATCCCTCCTGCCCAAATAGTTTATCAACTAACGAGTTCACCGTTCTTAGAACATACATATTGCTCCTAAAATTTATTCATATAATGAATGAATATTCACATTTCTAAATCAAAATTAAATGAAAAATTAAATTAAATGAAAAATTAAATTAAAACTATATTAAATTTAAAAGTAAATTAAAGGCAAGCCGTGCTTTTCAGCCAAACTCCTACTTTGTCTTGAGGCCATTTCTAGGACAAGAATCTGCATTAGAGGCCAGGACAGGAAACAATGGAGACTAATCGAGGAGAGATCCAATCTAGAATTAAGGAGAAACCTCCTAACAGTGAGAACAATTAATCAGGGGAACAGCTTGCCACCAGAAGTTATGGGTGCTCCATCACTGAAGGTGTTTAAAAACAGATAGGACAACCATTTGTCCTCAAAAGTCCCTTCCAGCACTATTCTCATCGATTGATTGAATCCTTTATGACTACCTGGGGAACTCAAAGGTTCATGATCTCATTCTTCATTGAGAACTTTTCTGGAAGCCTTCCTTTCCACATCTGAACAAGACAGTCCATACTTCGGTTGGGGACCCATTTTATTTAAATATTTACCCATATTTTTCGGAGTATAAGACACACTTCCCCCACCCCAAAAAAAGAGGGTGAAAATTTGGGCGCGTCTTATACACCAAATGTAGCCCCGCCCACCTGCCAGCCTCTGCCTCACAGCAATTTACTTCCTTGCAGCAAACAGCCTGTTTCAGCTTCAGCACAGCCTGATTAGCACAAGCAGCTGATTGTCGGTTGGATTGGCCTCCCAACCCCCAGCTGTTTCAGGCTGCAGGGATTGCCATTGCCTATTGCCACACGCCCCCATTTGCTGCAAGGAGGCAAATTGCTGGGAGGCAGAGGCAGATTTTTTTTTCTTGTTTCCTCTCCAAAAAAGGTAGGTGCATTAGTCTGGAGCGTCTTATACTCTGAAAAATACAGTAAATACCATTTGACTTTAAACAAATGATCTTCTGTCCAATTTCATAGAGGAGAAGGTGGAGATTGAGTGAGTGAGATAAGACGGGTGGGAATATGGGAAGCCCCCATTTCTAGAAATACATTTTCTCCCCACTTCCCAGGCGCATTAGAAAAATACCTTCCAAATTTAATACAGGTAGTCCTCGATTTACAATAGTTCATTTAGTGACCATTCAAAGTTAGAGTGGCATTGAAAAATGTGACTCACCTGACCATTTTTCACACTTACGATCTTTGCAGCAGCCCTGTGATCGTGTGATGAAATTTCAGATGCTTGGCAACGGGTTCATACTTACGACCGTTGCTGTTTCCCGAGGTCCCTTTTGTGAACTTCTGACAAGCCAAATCAATGGGGAAGCCAGATTCACTTAACAATTGGGTGACTAATTTATCAGCCGCAGTGGTTCACTTAACAACTGTGGCAAGAAAGTTCATAACATGGGGCAAAACTCGCTTAACAAATGTCTCCTTTAAGCTACAAACATTTGGGGCTCAATTGCGGTCATAAGTCAAGGACTACCTCTTCCCTGCTAGTCCCGAATGCTGTGGTATGCATTGCCCACCCATCAGGAAAATCCACCTGATTGGAAAATCCCCGCAACTCCAATTGTAGAGCCTGTAGTATTGAGCCAAGTAAGCGCCCAATTGTCAATGTTGATCAATCTCTAGTGATTCTGGAACCTACCCCATGACCCCAAACATGCTCCCCATGAGACCAGTGGATAGTAACTGGGTTTACTCTCAACTCTACTTATCCAATCTGTTGGTTGTTTCTTTCTTCTGCTTCATGCCTTTTCCATAGTCCCGTGGTTGCCTTATTTTATCTGTGTCACATGATCTCCTGTGCCTTAGCCCGCCCTGACTTATCAACGAAAGTATTGCTGTCCTGGTTAGCGTCATAGTTTTGTGGCTTTTCCTGCAATTTGGCCAAGAAACCAAACAAGGAATGAGTAGATGATTGTGAATTTGGCGCCTCCCTTCTTAGCTATGGATTGTTAAGGGGGGCACAGCGGCCTATGGTGCGTTACTTAGCAAGAAAGGCTCTTATAAATAGCAGAGCAGTATGCTGGGGTGGGGGTTCCCAACCCACGGGCTGCAGCCCACTACCGGGCCGTGGCCCATTAGAAACTGGGATGTGCGATCGGCTGGCCGGCTCCCTTCTCCCACCCCTGCCGAGCCACCAAGCCGTAAAGGTAGTGACCGCTGATGCTTGGGTCTTGGCATGGAAGGCATGGAAGGTGGTAGCTCTGTCTAGAATTTTCCATGCTTAGTTAAAGAGTCTACATCACTCTGTACCAATAGAAGAGAATATTTGTAGCTGAAGGTGGGAATGTGGGATCTCTGAGCTTGGCTGTTTCCTTGCAGACGTTTTATGACCCAACTAGGTAACATCATCAGTTGTAGAAGGGGGTGGGAGTTTGCTCTGAGTTTACATACAAGTGGCTCGTCCTGTCAGTTTTGGTGGTTGCTTGCTTACCAGACTAATCAGCACGATTAGCATAATCAATCACGCCTAACAACTAGCCTAATTGGCATGATCAATCATGCCTTACCAGCATGTTCCGTCCAGTGAACAGCCTAATTAAGGAGCCAGCAAGAACGCTTCCATCAACACTGACAGTACAAACCATATGGAGAGAGCAATCTCCTCTCCCTTCTAGCACTGATGACGTTAGCTAGTTGGATAAAGAAACGTCAGCAAGAAAACAGCTCACAGAGCACCAAGGACCCCACAGTAACCCAGGTGACTAAGGCCTATGTTTGACATGTTTTATAATACACGTAGTCCTCGACTTACAACAGTTCGTTTAATGACCGTTGAAAGTAACAACGCCATTGGAAAACGTGATTTATGACCATTTTTCCACACTTATGACCGTTGCAGCAGCCCCATGGTCAAGTGAACCAAATTCAGATGCTTGGCAACTGGCTCATAGTTAACAACGGCCACAACGTCTCGAGATCGTGTGATCTCCTTTTCTGATGAGTAAAGTCAAATGAGGAAGCCAGGTTCACTTAACAACCTTGTTACTAACTCAACAACTGCAGTGATTCACTTAACAACTGTGGCAAGCAAGGTCGTAAAATGGGTCAAAGTTCACTTAACAAAGGTCTCACTTAAGAACAGAAATTTGGGGTTCGATTGTGATCATAAGTCGAGGACTACCTGTATAAGCCAGTAAACAGCCTCTCGTGGATGTAGACCGACACGAAGGGCCTATTTCCACACATCAATGTGTAGCATAGCTTTGGCTACTATCTCTTTTCTCTAAGGCCTTTTTCTTTCTTTTTTTTCTTCCTTCCTTTCTTCATCCCTCTTCACCTTTCAGATATTTGTTCCGTAATAGGTCTTTTCTGAGAATTCCTGTGGCTCCTACGCCAAAGTTCTGTTCCCTCAGGAGTTTGAGGTTGGCTTGACATACAGGTTGTCGTTGAGAAGTTTATTCGTGTGCTATTTACATGTTTGGATAGAAACCCTCCCGTCCCCTTCCCCAAAAGGGGGGGAAACCCCCCCCCCAACCCTGCATGGTAATTGCATCGCTACCATGCAAGGCACCATCGTGAATTAACTGCCGGAGTTTGCTTTACAGCGGCTTCATTTCCATCGACTAACCCTGCCTTTTACTCGCGTGGAAACAGAAACGATTCGGCGTCGCCTTTTCCCTTTTTCATCTCGTGATTCACCCCCATGAACTATGACGATATTTCTATATTTCTATAGAAATAACACTCTAAAGCAGGGGTCCCCAACTCCAGAGCCACAGCCGGGCCGCACGAGAACCGGGCCGCACGAGAGGAGAGCCGATGCGCAGCGCGAGCCGGCACACACGCGCATGTGCGGTGATTCGTCTTGCAGCCGAGCGATTTGCCTGCATGCCGGCTCACACCTTTCACGGCCCGGTGGGTCTATGACAATTCATTGCGGCCAGCTTACCGTGACCAACCCACCACAGCCAACTCACTGCAGGGCCTACTAGGACAGTGTTTCTCAACCTTGGAAGCTTGAAGATGGATGGACTTCAACTCCCAGAATCCCCCAGCCAGCAGCGCTGACTGGGGGATTCTGGGAGTTGAAGTCTACCCATCTTCAAGCTACCAAGGTTGAGAAACACTGTACTAGGACAAGCAGCTGCACGACAAGAGTTACACTCATACCAAAGAAATGGTGGGATTCATTTAAAAAAAAAAAAAGGGATGCATAAGGAAGGACAAAATAAAATGCGAATGGCAAAAATTAAAATATTTTGTAATTTATTTTAAATAATGAAATAGAATCGTTCAATTGTCCTGCGGTGAGTCGTCTTGCGGCAAGCTGGCCATTCCAGCAAGTTCTTCCGCTACAAGTTGGCTGTGATGAGTTGGCCCACAGCGAGTTTGCCGTAGTAAATTGGCTGTGGCAAGTTGTCCCATTCCCCGGCCTGGTTCCCCTCTGTCCCCCCACCCACCCAGCTGCACCGCCAAGCCGCAAAGTTTGGGGACCACTGCTCTAAAGGGTCCAAAAATGGCTATACATTGATGTAAGCCTTTCCCGCCCCTCCCCCCAGCCAGAATGCATTCCAAAATGGCATATTATATATGATTATTGACCTATATATATAATATGGGCCACAACATGTTTTCTTTCTGACGTTTTCCACCCTGATTCCATTTATAATTTTAATTTGCCATTCCATGCCTTTCACATTAGCAGCAACCGCATCGATGCTATTCCGTCGAAGACGGTCTGATCCAGCTTCCGTCCCTTGCATGCGAAAGGAATGTCGCCATTTTGAGCCAACGTTTTAAAAGGGGCCACTCTTCCGCTTTTGAAGGGGACGGTGGGCACGGTGCATGCCCTCCGTGTGATATATATATATATATTTTCCTCTCCTGTCTTCCAATGCTCGCTCAAGAGGTGTCCCTGTGCTCTTTTTCTCCCAAAAGACCCTACATGGAAGAACCGCGTCAAGTCAAAGTGCAGAAGGGGGCCGAACCCCTCGGGATCTCCATTGTGTGCGGGGAAAATGGCGGAATATTCGTCTCGAAAGTAACCGGTGGCAGCATTGCCCATCAGGCCGGCCTTGAATACGGCGATCAGTTGTTGGAGGTAAAGCTACGAGTCGATCATAACGACATTGTTTTCCAGTTGGCTGTGTGGTACAGGGGGTTCTCGACTTACGACAGTTCGTTTAGTAACCGTTCAAAGTTACAACATCACTGAAAAATGTGACTGAGGATCATTTTTCACACTTATGACCATCGCAGCCTCCCCGTGGTCATGTGATCAAAATTCAGATGCTTGGCCACTGGTTCATATTTATGTCCGTGTTCTGGGGTGTGGGTCGCGTGATTCCCTTTTTGCGACCTCCTGACGAGCATCATCAATGGAGGAGCCGGGTTCGCCTAACTTAACAACCGCAGTTATTCACTTAACAACTGTGGCAAGAAAGGTCGTAAAATTGGGCAAAACTCACTGAACAAATGCCTCGGTTAACAACAGAAATTCTGGGCTTGATTGCGGTCGTAAGTCAAGGACTACTTGCATTTGTGTGGTCTCACTAACATTGGGACAGCTTTTGTTAAAAATATTGCTCCCTCGAGTTCTTAAAATACACTGTTTCCAAATGTTGTTTTCAGAAAGAAAGGGGGGGGGGGATAAAATAGATTCCATTGTGGTCGTAAGTCGAGGAGTACCTGTAGAAAAAGCAAATACCTTCAAATAACCAGATTTATTGGCATTTTAACTAGTTTTTATTGACATTGTTCTGTCACCTACTTTCGTCTCTAAGGATGGGTTGTTTTAACATGTTGTTGGTAGACACCGATGGGTCCAAATACGACTTGTCCTTTAAGTATGTTTCTCTTGTGTGTTCTCACCTGCACTTGTTTTTGCAGTGTGTTACACACACACACACACACACACACACACACACACACACACACACACAATTTATATTTGCTGATAACGAAATAAAGGGAGACTAGTATAGATCTATTTCAACTATTTAGCTCTCATCAGCAAGCCATACCCTTACTCTGATTCGAACTATATACACACGCGCACATACATATACATATAAATATTAAAAAAATAGTAAATATTTCCTGTTTATGGGATGCGATGGCTCAGTGGCTAAGATGCTGAGCTTGTCGATCAAAAGGTCAGCAGTTCAGTGGTTCGAATCCCTAGTGCCACATAACGGGGTGAACTCCCATTACTTGTCCCAGCTTCTGCCAACCTAGCAGTTCGAAAGCAGGTAAAAAACGCAAGTAGAAAAATAGGGACCACCTTTGGTGGGAAGGTAACAGCGTTCCGTGCGCCTTTGGCGTTTAGTCATGCCGGCCACATGACCATGGAGAACGTCTTCGGACAGCGCTGGCTTTTCGGCTTTGAAACGGAGATGAGCACCGCCCCCTAGAGTCGGGAATGACGAGCACATATGTGCAAGGGGAACCTTTACCTTTACCTTTTAGTATTAATGTTATTGTGATGAATACTATTGTCAACACTTTGATTGATTGCCTAAGAACAATTGTACCTAGCAACACACTGTTTGATAGAAATTGAATGAAATTTTTTAAAAAATGATATATATATGAAAAAGGAATATTTATGAATGATTTTTTTTTTGTGGTTCTCTTATCTTCTCCCAGTTTAATGGCATCAACCTGCGGAACGCCACGGAACAACAAGCTCGGCTGATCATTGGGCAGCAGTGCGACACCATAACTATTTTGGCACAGTACAACCCCCACATGTTCCAGCTGGGCAATCATTCACGATCAAGGTAAGCTTCTCCACGATGGTCATGTGAAGCAGTGGTGGTATTCAGCCAGTTCTATCTGGTTCGGGCAAACTGGTAGCGGTGGCTGCAGGAGGCTCTGCCTACCCGCCCATCCTTTTTTGACCCTCTGCACATGCACGGAAGGCCTTTCTTCTTCCCTGGGATAGATCTGAAGCAGAGACCAAGACACTGTTACCATGAAGCACCAGTTGATTTATTTGACAGATTATAGCAGGGTTCCCCAACCTTTCTGGCTTTATGGCCCGACCTGGAGGGGTGGGGAAGGGGGGATGGTTTTGTGTGAGTGGTGTTGTGGCTCAGTTGCCTGAGCCTGGGCTATCGACAGATGCGGACTCTGAGAGTGAGGGAGAGGAGTTGGCAAGGCCTCCCTCTCCAGGACCCTCCTCTCTGGCAATGCCTCCGGACGACACCGAAGGCCAAGAGATAGGCCCAGAGCCAAGCACGTCCCCGCAGCCACAGGTGGACAGCGATGAAGGAGATAAGTGCTGGCTGGATCCTCGGCAATGGCGCAGGGAGAAGCGTGCGCAGCAGAGGGGAAGGTGTGCCAGAGATTAGCTGAGTCACTGGACCACACCCCACAGGGTATAAATGTGGGTGTGATGGCCGGTTCAGTTTGTGACGAGCAAAAACTAGAAATAATCCATGATCTCTGCGTCACTGGACTTCTGCCTGCCTTGTCGGACTGCATTTGGACTAATCCTTGTATTGCTGAAACTTTGCCTGCTTTATTGGAATGCTTGCAGTCTAATCTTTGTTTTGTGTGAGTAAAGTCTGAATTGGCAGCTAGCCACTGGGTTGCTGCCAGCTTTATCTTCAAAGATTTTGTCATGTGGCTTATTAACTCCGGGCCGTCTGTGGGGGTGCGTGTGTGGAACGGGGACAGAACAAGTGGTGGGTAAGTGTACGCATGCACATAGCTCCATTTGCTCGAGCGGTGGGCACGTGCACCCACCACTCCCGTAAAAGAAGTGTACGCACTCGCTGCTCGTGCAAATTGTGATGTGTATGTGTGTGTGCTCGCCTGCCACTTCCACATCCAGGTTCTGAATGGCTCAAGGCCCAGTTAGTGGGTCACAGCTCTGGGGGTTGGGGATCCCTTGATTATAGTAACCTAGGCAGGATGAGAAAGCCTAAAAGAGAGATGGAGTCATGAGCCCCTCTTGATAGACTTCTGCGAAAGATCCTTTTGATTTTATTGGTTAACGAACTAGATGTTCTGACCTAGGCTTCCTTAGAAATTAAACAGCACAAACTTAGTCCCGGCAAACCTCTTTAATTCATATGACTGAAAATTATTTTCATTTACAGTCCGCAAGGCTTGATAAACAGTCTTTCAGAGGAAGGTTATCAACACCCACCTATCTCACGTGGAACACTGCCAAAGAGCTAATTTCCAGGCGCAGGACAAGGCCAAACTTGGCACAGAGTCACAAACAGAATTTTCAAATCTTGAATCGGCCAGATGAACTAACTGCTTCCTGCAAAAGCTCACGTCCTGTTCGCTTCTCTTTTATGTCTTATGGGTGGGGCCAGTCATCTCCAAGCCTTACTCCCAAGTCGACCCTGTTTTCTTAATTGTTCCTGTCTCCTGGCAACTCTGTGCATGTGCACACTGGGAACAGGCTGTTCTGCCTCGCTGATGTCAGACTCCAGAGACTTCAGAGGCAGCAAAGAACTACCAGATGGCCTTGGCCCCCTCTCTGCCTCCAACTCAGAGCCATCGTCCGAGCCTTCCCCAGACTCCAGGACTGGCCCACGTTCCTCCTCAACCTCCTCACTGTCTGAATCTGTTGCCAGCTCTGCTGGCCGCTGGCGGGCCACAACACTAGATAACAGAGAGCCAAAGAAATATAATCTTCAATGTGAAGGATAACATTAATCTTACTGATCGGATTAATTGATATACATTTTGAATGGGTAATGTCAAGCGCTAAAGACCAGGTCCACACATGAAACCAATTAACTGATTTATTGCTAAAAAGCCTATGCAACAGGAATCTTTTCAGCTAAGGGTTAGCACTGCTTGGAGTTAAATAATGGAAATCAAGGGGGTTTGGACTTAGTCTGCTTGTGACTATGTAGGGATTCTAGGCTGATTCCTCTTTTAATTCCACCCACAGCTTCTGCCCTATCTTCTACTACAGGTTATAATGGATGGAGAGGATGAGGTGTATTAATTTATTTCTTGGATTGAACAGAGAGGTCTAATAAATGCATCTGAAATCATTATTTTATTACAATGTCTGTCTAAAGTCCTCGAGTTCTCAAGCTGACTGGTTGGCTTTGTCATTCTTTGCTGGATTTTTATTTCTTGCACTTTCTTTTAACTTACTATGTTCTATGCACCCAATTGCTTTCTAGCTGAACTGAGGACATTGTGTTGGGAAGCGAGATATGGGTAGATCATGGTTTCCTGCTCACTGTTAGAAAGTTTCTCCTTAGTTCCAGGTTGCTTCTTTCCTTGGTTAGTTCCCATCGATTGCTTTCTTCTCCTACCCTCTGGCGCTGAGATCTCAAGGATTATCTAGTTCCCAAAACTTGTACCAGTCCTCGAAAAATGTCGCATTGTAATTCCTTTTAATTCACTTCTTTCCTTTAAGCTCCCGTCTGGAACCGGTGAGTAGTCATTCCACTCCACAAGGCAGTGGAGCTCCAACTCCTGACAGCCATTCCATAATCGATACTGTGAGCGAACAGGATGAAGGGACCATGACTCCTCCGTCCAAGGACACCACTCCAACCACCAGTCCCCGCAATTCAGTTAGGTAAGCTACTTCCCGGCTCAAGAACAGATGGTGCTTATTTCAGCAGGAACTCCTTGGTGAACAGACATCTAGGAGATCCTTCCCCAGTGGTAGATCCATCCTGTGCTTGTGACTAAGTAGCCTCTGAGAGATCCTTGGTGCTCTTTAAGCTTGATTGTTTTCTTGCAGATGTTTCGTTACCTAAACTAGGTACTGTCCAGAAGTGGTATTCAAACAGTTCTGACCAGTTCTGGTGAACCAATAGTGGAAATTTTGAGTAACTGGCAATTACCACTTCTGGCTGGCCCCGCCCCCAATCTATTCGCTGCTTCCCCAGTCCCAGCTGATCAAGTCCCAGTTCATCAGCTGGATCTTCTCTTGTTGCCCTGCACAGGAGAACAGAGCTGGAAAGCAGGTTAGTGGGGTGGGGAGGGAATGGGGATTTTACAGTATCCTTCCGCTGGAGTGGGGTGGGAATGGAGATTTTGCAGTATCCTTCCCCTGCCACACCCACCAAGCCACGCTCACAGAACCAGTAGTAGAAGTTTTTGAATCCCACCACTGGTACCATCGTCAAGCTTTCAAAAAGAAACTGGACTGCCATCTGTCAGAAATGGTGTAGGGTTGGACTAGATGACCTACAAGGTCCCTTCCAACTCTGTCAATCTGTTCATCAGTGTGCTGATGATGAAGTTATCTAGTTTGGATCATGAAATGTCTTCAAGAAAACAGTCAAGCTCAGAGAACACCAAGGACCTCTCGTTTCAACCCTGAGCTACAAATATTTTCTTTAGTTGGTGCTGGTACAGCTAGTCCTCAACTTAAGACCACAACTGAGCCCAAAGTTTATGTTGTTAAGTGAGAAATTGTTGTTAACTGAGTTTTGGCCCATTTTATGACTTTTCTTGCCACTATAATAATAATAAGAGGTCTTATTATTTTGGGGCACGTGGAATAAGATGGGGCTCCGCTTGCCGTCTTACCTGATTTCCAACTCTGAGTTTAAATATTTTTGGGGAGGGTTTATTTTCAGGGGGAGGCTTATTTTAGCACATGCACTCAAAAGCCCAATTGGGCTTATTATCAGGGGATGTCTTATTTTCGGCAAAACAGGTTATCTATCTATCTATCTATCTATCTATCTATCTATCTATCTATCTATCTATCATCAATCTAACTATCATCAATCTAACTATCTAAATCAATCTCCCTCCCTCCCCTTCCAACTCTGTCAATCTGTTCATCAGTGTGCTGATGATGAAGTTATCTAGTTTGGATCATGAAATGTCTTCAAGAAAACAGTCAAGCTCAGAGAACACCAAGGACCTCTCGTTTCAACCCTGAGCTACAAATATTTTCTTTAGTTGGTGCTGGTACAGCTAGTCCTCAACTTAAGACCACAACTGAGCCCAAAGTTTATGTTGTTAAGTGAGAAATTGTTGTTAACTGAGTTTTGGCCCATTTTATGACTTTTCTTGCCACTATAATAATAATAAGAGGTCTTATTATTTTGGGGCACGTGGAATAAGATGGGGCTCCGCTTGCCGTCTTACCTGATTTCCAACTCTGAGTTTAAATATTTTTGGGGAGGGTTTATTTTCAGGGGGAGGCTTATTTTAGCACATGCACTCAAAAGCCCAATTGGGCTTATTATCAGGAGATGTCTTATTTTCGGCAAAACAGGTTATCTATCTATCTATCTATCTATCTATCTATCTATCTATCTATCTATCTATCATCAATCTAACTATCATCAATCTAACTATCTAAATCAATCTCCTCCCTCCCTCCCTCCCTCCTCCCTCCCTCCCTCCCTCCCTCCCTCTCTCTCTCTCTCTCTCCTGTGATAGAAATAGGTGTTGAATTTTTTAAAAATAAAACAACAAAACATTTTTATAAATATTCTGGCCAAGAGATAAGGGCAAGAGAAAGAGTTGAGTTTCCACATGGATCCTGACATCCAAGTGTTGAGTTCATTCCTGTCCTGGGACTCTCAAGCCCAATGCTGGAACGTCCTTTTATCTTTATCCTTCTCCCCCCAGGAAAGATTAGGGGAGCCATGGAGGGTTAGTTTGACTGATAGGCCTTCTCTCTTCTTTGTCTCTTGTTCAAAGGAGTTCTGTTGACACGATTAAAAGGACACCTGAACCTAGAACGGTTAACATCAAGAAATTTCAAGCGGAGCTCGGAATCCAAATTGGTGGTGGGAACATGCATGGAATATTTGTCTCTGACCTAGAAGATGAAAGTCCAGCCAAAGGATCTGAAGGTCTAATGCCAGGAGATCTAATACTGGAGGTAACACTGTCAATATTAAAAGAAGAGGGACCAAGAGAGACAAAAGAAGTTCCATAAAACAAGAGTGATGATGTGAACTACTAGGTCACATAAAACTAATTTTGAGGTTGTATTTTTTAACCACAGTTTTGGACTATTTCTGCGGTATCTTAAAAGGTTGAATCGTGGCAACCGGACCAAAGTTTATTAAAACTGAGGCGTTTCTTTACTCATCCAAGCAACTTCTTCAGTCAGAATGAAAATTTGGGTAGGCAGAGTCAATGTTGGTCCAGTTGCCATTAAACCTTTTGAGATACTTTTGGCCTGGATGATTGAATTTTCATTTACTATTTCTGAACTTGTTTTCTGAGTTTTGAAGGACTTCAGGAACTGCTTTAGAGCACAAGTGATAATGTCCTGTCTCAGAAGCCACAAGATGTCATCCCACAGATAACCCAAATTGTCTATATTCCCTCAGTGGTGACAGAACGGTTGCCTGATGACATCATCACTTGTGCAATATCACTCATACCCCATCATCTCCATATGGCCACAGAGTGCCCATCTATATAAATAAAAGCCAAATACCACTCACTCATCACAAAATCTCCAGAATCGTAAAGCTTACAAACTTGAAATTTGGCACTTATGTTCTTCTTGGCTTCTAGGTGCTTGCTAAGAAAGGATTCGTCGAAATGACCATCAGATCATTAGTATTTCATATACAGTATTATATTCACACACTCTGATGCTAAGGAGTTAGACATTCTACTCCCCCTCCCCACCTGAAAGGAACTCTGTCCCAACTGCCAGTTGTCTTATATTAACACGCTCTGATGCTACCCCTTCGCTAAACAGGGTGTGGGCGTGGCTAGCGCATGACTCATCTGGCCTGCGGACTGGGACATTCTACTCCCTCTCTGTTCCAACTGCCAGTTGCCTTATAGTAACACGCTCTGATGCTATGGAGTTACACATTCCACGTTAAGTTTCAGGTTTTAAGTGTCAATTTATCAAGCCCGAGCACATAGTTTCATAGTGAAGCACGGGCGTCCGGCTAGTATCTGATATAAAATAAAATTTAAAAGTAGGTCATTTTTAGACCGTTGGAAAATCCATGACTGTATGTCTTATTGTCTGTGTGGAAGTTTATGCTTCTATCTGGGATTCATCACAAGTTTATTTCATTAACTTATTTCATCAAACTGCAAGGAAGATCAATTTCAGGTTATAAGGTGTTAGATAATACAGCTTTAGCTAACCTGAAATGGGAACAGAAGCTCTCATTCCCCCTTGTAGATGTAACCAGAGAAATGTAAGAAACACATTGAGATCAAGAGAAGTCAAACTCTTGTAATATAGACAGTCCTCAATTTACAAGAGTTAACTTTGAGAAGAAAAATTGTAAAGAGGGAAAAACTCATTTAACAAATGTCTTGCTTTTGAACTGAAATTTCAGGCTCAACTGTGGTTGTAAGCCAAGGACTACCTGTATTACTTTTGGTTAAGGGTGCATAGTTTATTTATTTATTTAAAATAATGCATTTGGTTTATTTCCTATGAGCTGTAGATCAGTCCATATCTATTTCTCCTCTTTGCTGATTCCAGCAAAGTTTTATTCAGCTGAGTTTTCCAACACTGCTTTGACGGAAGGGAAAAAAAACCAACCCTTTGTAGGAACCTGGATTTTGAATAAAGTAGTAACTCTTTCAGTTCCCTAATTTGCTTATTTAAATAATTCCTTTGTATTGGCTTTCATGGAGGTGGAATCTCTGAATGGAGGATGGAAGTTGAGCGAGCAAATTGGAGTGGACAAAACAGTTGCTCACTTCCCTTCTGCCTTATTCCCAAAGCAGTTAGTTCTTCCCTCAAGCTTTCTCCATTCTCCTGATGTGTGTTTTTTTTTTTTTAAAGAAATAGCAATTCATCAGAAAAAGAATCTTTTGACTCACAATCCGATCCATAATTGCTCTTCCATAAAATATCAGTGAACACACTTGAGATATATGAAGTTTGGTGAGAAACTATGTGCTTGAGATCAGACTTGGTGACATTTTGGATCACCTAATAAGATTAGTGTTAAATACCAATTTTGGCCGGTGATGAAATTCATCAACAACACTTAAACACATGATTATTGTTTTATTTTAATTTTTTTTTTTTTACAGTATGGGTCCGTTGACATGCGAAATAAAACAGCAGAGGAAGCTTACCTTGAAATGCTCAAGCCAGGTGACACCATTAGAATAAAAGCTCAGTACAGAATTGAAGAATTCAACAGGCTGAAAGATTTACCCGGAGATGGTTTCTATGTCAGGTACTTAAAAATCTCATCTGGTATTTTCATCAACTGTTATGGGCTGGTTAGGGACACAAACTTTTCTTCCTGGTTTAGTGCAGGAAACTGAATTGCCAAATTGCTACCACAACTTCATTGGAGTATTTGCACATGTAATGACCTTCGTGCTATAATTGGAAGGTGATACCACTTAGACCACAGCTCAATGACTGACTCAAATAATATTAAATACTTGAGATGATTAAATCGAACTGCACTGGTGGGAATTTCAGATTTTATTGTCCACTGTTATGTCTGTTTCCTGAATTACCTGCGAAGTGCAGAACTTAGCAATAAAGATTGGACTAGAATTTAATTTAATTTAATTTAATTAATTAATTAATTCAATTTATATGCCGCCCCTCTCCGAAGACTCAGGGCGGCTCACAATACATTTTAAAAAATCATTATAAAAAACATTTAAAAATTAAAAACATTAAAAACCCATTTTTAGAAGACCTCCAAGTTCCCTTCCAACTCTGTTATTCTATTCTATTCTATTCTATTCTATTCTATTCTATTCTATTCTACTATTCTATTTCTATTCTATTCTATTCTATTCTATTCTATTCTATTCTATTCTATTGTATATTCTATTCTATTCTGTTCTATTCTACTCTACTCTACTCTACTCTACTCTACTCTACTCTACTCTACTCTACTCTACTCTACTCTACTCTACTAATTCTATTTCATCTGTAAAAATGATCATGTGCCAGTTATGAAACATTGGTAGAAATACTGAATTGAAAAAGTAATTGAAAATGAGCAGGTTAAAATATTGTGGGATTTACAAATACAAACCAATAAAGTCTTGTGTCATAATGTACCAAATTCAACTATGATATTGTTTCCCCCCTCAAGTGGCCCAAAGTAAATCTTTGTCTAAATCGCACACATCTGTATGTTTTTTTTTAAAAAAAATATTTTTCAAAAACACAAACAAAACAAAACATAAAAACATTATCATTCCATACAATTATAGACAGGGTATCAGTCGGTGGCATTTTTGTGCTCCTCCTCTCTTCAATTTATCACTAAACATGCTAGCTTATTTCCAGAAATTTCAACATCCATCATAATTATTTCCAATTCTTATTCTCTATCCATTAGTAAAATAAATCCCATATCAAATAGTATTGTCTATCTTCCTGCTCTCTTATTTCAAATGTCAATTTACTCATTTCAGCACATTCCATCATTTTCTTAATAATTTCTTCATCATTAGGTAGCTTTTCTCCTTTCCAGTTTTTAGCAAATACAATTCTAGCTGCTGTCTAGAGAGTCACAATTAAATATTGCAGTTCTTTATTATATGTCTCCGGTATAATCCCTAATAAAAATATCTCTGGTTTAAAGTCGATTTGTCTCTTTATCATTTTTTCAACCACGTGTGTATTTCAGTCCAATATCTCCTTGCTTCTGCGCATGTCCACCACATGTGATAATAGGATCCTGGGGTCTGATGACATTTCCAACATTTCTCCGATTTATTCTGGAACATTCTGGCTATTCTCGACGGGGATAGGTGCCACCTGTAAAACATCTTATACAAATTCTCCTTATATGCTGTAGACATTGTCATTTTATAATTATGTGACCACAATTTTTGCCATTTCTCTAAATCATTTCCATAGCCAAAATTCTTCCCCCTTGCTATCATTGATTCTTTAACTTGTTCTTCTTCCAATTTAACCTCTAGTAAATAACCATATAGCTTTTTAATTACATGATCATCAGAACCCATCAAAATCTTGTCTAAATTAGTCCATACATTATAAAAACCTTCTTGTTTAAGATCTTCTCGATATCTAGAGAGTATTTGCCTGTATGAAAACCAATCCATTTTATACCCTTGATCTTCTATATCTTGCTTTGATTTAAGTTCACCCTTTTCATCCAATAATTCCTTATATCTTATAATTTGTTTCCCTTTAAACGCCAATGGCACACGTCTGTATGTTGAAGGACACTTTCGTTTCTCCAAGTTGGCAGAGATGGCTATTGGGATGCCTGCCAAACAGGAGGTCTTCAGTTTTTGTCCTGTAACATCTGGAGCAGTCTAAAAAAGATAGATGGTCATCTGTTTGTCTCTTTCCTTAACAGGGCACTCTATGACCGCCTAGCAGAAGTTGAGCAGGACTTGAGTTTCAAAAAAGATGACATTTTGTATGTCGATGACACTCTGCCCCAAGGAAACTTTGGCTGTTGGATGGCCTGGCAGCTGGATGAAAATGCTCAGAAGCTGGAAAGAGGACAGATCCCCAGCAAATACATGTAATTCCATCCTACAGATTTCAATGGGATTTGGGGCATTGCTCGAATCAAGCTACTTGAAAGACGTAAAAATAAATTTAAGCCTTCTATGCTTTTATGACTTGGTTGGCAGAAGCCCATCTCTAGAGAAAGAGGTAGAAAAAAAAGAGGCAAGAAAAGTACTATAATGGGACAAAATTCACATGTCAGGGTCCAAGTAACACCCTCAACGAAAGAAAACTCCGAGGCTTGAGTTTCCCTCAAAGTTCCATTTTATTAGAGATGTCATATTGGCACATCTGGGAAAACCCGAATCTGAAAGTTTCCAGGTTTTCCCCACCCAAAGGAAAGTCCAAGTCCCTGCCCAGCACCCACATGTCCATCACATGGTCCAATCCAAGCACTGTCCCAACTGGAGATGCCTCCCAATCACACCCTCCAGGTGCAGGGCATGATGTCCTTGACTCTCTGAGAAAGGAATGTTATTATGACTATATATATCACCCTGGCTCCATACAATCCCCCGTCCCAGTTGTGGCAGGCCTGAAAATCCAACGAAAAAGATGGCTTCCAGGCCTGACATCACATCTGTTTCACTTAGGGAAATAATGGGACAAAATTCACATCTGTCTCATTTAGGAAAATAAAATTTTAGGCTCAATTGTTGTCGTATGTCGAGGGCTACCCATATTCAGAAGGATGCCTCTTACAAATTCTGTAGAGATACTTGGTCATCCAGGGTTGTCCCAAAGGTGCTTTTAAAAGAGGCAACTCGACTTTCTTGTTTTGTTTTGTTTTTTAATATGTTTCGCTTCTCATCTAAGAAGCTTCTTCAGCTATGACAGGTTAATGGGAAATGGAAGGATTTTGCAAGGAATATAAATCCTTCCATTCCCCGCTATCCTGTCACAGCTGAAGAAGCTTCTTGGATGAGAAGCGAAATGTCTTCAAAAGAAAAAACCAAGTCCAGTTGTCTCCTTAAAAAAGCACCGGCTCTGTTTTCTTGAGGATTTTCCCCCCCCTGTCCCAATCCTTTCACTTCTTCCTGCCTGACTCTCCCAACCATTACTTTATAGAATGGAGCAGGAATTCTACAGGAGACACAGCATGTCCGAAGCCAAAGATGACAACAGCTCCTCGAAGGCATCCTCGGCTGCGGCCCGCCGATCCTTCTTCCGAAGGAAACACAAACACAAGCGCAGCGGCTCCAAAGACGGAAAAGATTTGCTGGCCCTTGACACCATTAGCACAGACTCCATTCCTTTCTTGGACGGCAAGTGGCGATCGCACTCGGTTAAAACGGGGCAGAACCAATGGTGGAATTCAAATTTTTTTTTACTACCGGTTCTGTGGGTGTCGCTTGGGCGTGGTGTGGCTTGGTGGGTGTCACGGGAAGGATACTGCAAAATCTCCATTCTCACGGCACTCCTGGGGGAAGGATATTGCAAAATCTCCATTCCCACCCCACTCCAGGAGAAGGATACTGCAAAATCCCCATTCCCTCCCCACTCCTGGGGGAAGGTGCAAAATCTCCATTCCCTCCCACTCCTGGGGGAAGGATACTGCAAAATCCCCATTCCCTCCCCACTCCTGGGGGAAGAATATTGCAAAATCTCCATTCCCTCCCCACTCCTGGGGGAAGGAATACTGCAAAATCCCCATTCCCTCCCCACTCCTGGGGGAAGGATATTACAAAATCTCCATTCCCACCCCACTCTGGGGCCAGCCAGAGATGCTATTTGCTGGTTCTCTGAAGTACCCAAAATTTCCGCTACCAGTTCATCAGAACCTGCTGGATTTCACCCCTGGGCAGAACCCTCTGTGGGACTTTCCTATGCAAGCTTTGTGTGTCGCAAACAGGAGGCTGCGGAAGGGATAAGGCAGAGCTACAGTTCTGGGGGGATTTGTGTGTGTGTGTTTTTAACATGTCCAGTTAGGGTAACTGAATTTCATTCTTAAAAAGAGTTGTCCCATCCGTTAACGTTTTAAATAAGAGGTTTGTGTAGGCCACAAGCCTTTATTCTAGATCACTTTTCCTACAAAGTGATCTTTCTTTTCGCAGCTGGCCTCTTTCATAACACTTCAGTTCCGTAGTCTCTGCAAAACAGCTTAAATTTGCCTTAGCAAATTTGGCGTCTTAGAAATAACAGGATTCATTTCACTTCCCCAAAGCATTTGCCTGATGGGAGATGCTTTTAATCTCCAGCACTTGCAGGCAGATAGTCCTTGACTTACAGCAGTTCACTTAGTGACCATTCAAAGTTATCACGGCACAAAAAAAAAAGTGACTGATGACTATTTTTCAAACTTACGACCATCACGCTTACGACCCTCATGGTCACGTGATTTAAATTTGGGTGCTCGACAGCTGACTCGTGTTTATGGCAGTTTGCAGCGTCCCAGGGGTCACACGATTCCCTTCGGTGACCTTCTGACAAGCCAGCTTCACTTAACAACCGTGTGACTAACTTAACCACAGCAGTGAATCGCTTAACAAATGTGGCAAGAAAAGTCATAAAATGGGACAAAACCCGCTTAACAAATGTCTCGCTTAGCCACATAAATTCTCGGCTCAATTGTGGTCGTAAATTGAGGATTATCCGTATGGCATATGCAGAAGGAAAATAGATAAGGGAAAATCAGGGGAAGTAAGGCGGTTCCGGTCCTTTGTTTCAAAATAAGACTGCGCGAAACTTGTGGAACAGTTTGGAAGAGATGCTTTGCTCTCCTTTCAGACCAAGTAGGGCTGTAGTAGAAAGACGACACCAAATTCTTGTGTTTTTGGGATTCAAAACAGGGCAGTGGCTTGAGTCTCCATGCCAGTCTTAAATTTTCTTGATGTTTTGCAACCAAGTTATTGAAGTCCAACTTCCTAGTCACTGTACAGTAGTGGCCAAAATTGTGGAAACCTTTTGGGAAAAGTGTATTTTCTAAAACTAGCTAATAACAACATATTCTTGTGGAGTAGTACCATAAAATTATATATCAACGGAAAGATAATTGAATCAAGAATGTAATGCAATAACTTTTATGAAGGATTTGCTATTAGAACAGCAGTTACAGTATAAAGAAGAAAAGAAACACATAGAAAAAATGAGATATACAAAAATTATCACCATCTCAGTTAATACTTAGTTGGGTAACCTTTAGCATGAATTACGGCCTTACAACATCTTCCCATGGAATCAACCAAGTCTTTTAGTTCTGCAGCTGTTATCATGTGAAACCAAGATGGAATGATGGCTTCTATTAACTGGGTTTTATTACTAGGTCGCTTCTGACTTACAAGTTTTTTTAGCCGGCTCCATAGATTTTCAATTGGGTTAAGGTCTGGGCTATTCCCAGGCCATTCCAGCAGTGGAATAGGATTATCTTGAAACTCCAAAACAAGTGGTGTTATTAGCCATCAAACCTCAAAAATACACTTTTCCCAAAAGGTTTCCACAATTTTGGCCACTACTGTTATTTATAGAAATGCTGCCAGTTAAGACAAATGTTAAGTCTTCACTGTTGGTAGTTCGAAGATGTTCTTCAAGACAGATCAGTAAACATGTAAACACAACCTCCAGTCTGCTTCCTTTGTGCACCTGGCGTATCAGAAGGGTAAAGCACATACCTTGAGAGAGAAGGCCCTTCTTCCCACCATGTTTTGGTAATAGCAACAATATCATAATTGCCCTCATGTTCTAGTACTTCAGCTTTGTTTGTTCCCTAAACTATGAGCATTTGTGTGTAGGCATTTGAGTCCTTTATGGTTGACCCTAGTTGAGTGGTGCAGTGGCCTAGAGGTGGAGCTCTCGCCTCACAATCAGGAGGCTGTGAGTTCGATTCTAGATAGAGGCAGATAGTTCTCTGAGAATATATCTGCTGAATCTAACCCCGCATTGGCAATAGGAAGGGCATCTGGCCAGTAAACAGTCAACTCCATTCAGTTGCCCAGACTCCACCCCACAAGGGATTATGAGGTCATTAAAAGGAGATGATGGTTGACCCTAGTTATGTCTCCTATGTTACATCTGAGTTTTTCTTCCTTCCTGTTCTGACTTAGCCTTAGCAGAAGCAAGAAACAAATTCTTTGTCACGAAAAACCCTTCTTTATTTATCTCCTGTGAATTAACGGTATTCACACATCGAAAAGTCCAGGCAATAATCCTTTAAGGAGTTAACTGCAGTAAGAGACCTTATCAGTTCCTTGCGATAATTGCCAGGCCATAAACTCCCAGCCAGAAGGCTGCAAATTAAGTTCTGGCAAGCAGTCTCTGTGGCACAAAACACAATGAGCAAAATCTTCAGAAATATGAACTGTTGTCTCCTGCCACAACCACTCCCATTCCCTTCTATTTATTCCCCAGCTAGGGAGGGGCCATTCAACGTCCATATGTGCTTTTGCTTCCTGAGTCGACTCCTTGTCCTCCGTTGTTCTCCTCTCCTAACAGCTCTGCATATACGTGCATCTGGAACAGGCCCCAGCTGTTCTTCCTCCTCACTCATAGCATCTTCCAAAGACAGATGCCTCTCTGGTGGCTAGGGAATGTTGGACGGCCCTGGCTCTATCTCTTTGTCCGATGCTGAGCATCCATCAGAACCTTCCCCAGGCCCCAGAACTGGCCCAAGTTCTTCCCCGACCTCCTCATCGTCCAAGTCTGCCACCAGCTCCGCTGGCGGGCCACAACACTTCCCATCACTTTCTATCTGATTGGTTGTCTTGGGGTTTGTGTTTGGAATTAAGCCCTAAAGATTGCTCACACTTTTCGCGCTTTTTTTTTTTTTTAGTTTAAAGCTCTTCTGATAAGTTGAGCCAGTCGTTTTCCCAAATACATACTTCCCGGTTCTTGTGAGGTGTAGCCCATCCTTTGCCATTCATTCCTCACAGCCATTTGTGTTGTGTGTGTTTCTTTTGCTATACGAGCAATTTCCCCCATCAGTATCTGGGGTGTCTCTTCCCGAGTGTGCAGAACAGTGGATGGATCGGCCACCTCAACCAAGCTTGGCACAAAATGGGCTTGTGACCACCTTCTTGGAAGATGACCTCAGACCACATTGTTGTTTCTCCTATGGTGGTGCTTTCTATAGGATTAAAAAGGCTTGCAGGAACCTCTGAAATGCACCACAAATGTGTTTTTCTGGAGAGTCTTTCCTAAAAAAGGAACCACTCATCCCACTTCACAGGTTGGCACCGGCCTCTAAAGCAGTCTTCAGCATCTTTCAGGTGGATGAACTTCAACACCCAGAATTCCCCAGTTGAAATGGCCATTGTTGAGAATTCTGAGCGTTGAAGCATTTGGAAGTGTTGTGGTCCCTCACACGTGGCCTGGAATGAGATATTGGACCTGGGGAGGGCGGGTTTAGATGAATCAAAAACTGGAAATTAAGATTGCCAGGAGAAATATCAACAACCTCAGATATGCAGATGATACCACTTTAATGGCAGAAAGTGAAAGGAACCTCATCTAGAGCCTCTTGATGTGGGTGAAGGAGGAGAGTGCAAAAGTTGGCTTGAAACTCAACATTAAGAAAAGTAAGATCATGGCATCCATCCCTCTCAATTCCTGGCAAATAGACGGGGAAGAAATGGAGGTAGTGACAAATTTTATTTTCTTGGGCTCCAAGATCACTGCATATGGGGACTACAGCCAAGAAGTTAAAAATTGCTTGCTCCTGGGGAGGAAAGCCATGGCAAAGTTAGACAGCATACTAAAAAGCAGAGAAATCGCCCTGCCAACAAAAGTGTGTATAGTCAAGGCTATGGTTTTCCCAGTTGCAATGTATGGCCGTGAGAGTTGGACCATAAGGAAGGCTGAGTGCCAAAGAATTGAGGCCTTTGAACTATGGTGCTGGAGAAGACTCCTGCGAGTCCCAGGACTCTCCTAGCATGGGGTCAAACACTTATGGTGCCTCTTTATATGGCAGGCTTTGGAGTGGATAATGGTACCGTTCAACGAGAATGCCTTTAGTCACAGAGTCTTCCAATCGCCTCCAAACGTCTCAAGAGAATGGTGCCTGTGTTTGGTTGTCATGGGAAACAACTCTAAAAGAACACGCGGAGACACCTCTCAGAAGATACTGCTTTCATTTCCTTTAGTATCACAAAACCTTTGAGGCTTATTTTTCGTTTTGGAAAAAAGAATATGCTGGAATTTTTTATTTGCTTTACAGTACTTGTAGCCCACCCCAGTCTTGAAGCACTCTGGGTAGCCGTCCTACATCAAAACAAACACACAAATTGATATTACACTTCAGTCACAGTCTTTGTTCCAAGTATGACTCAAAGTGTGAATGAGAATATCTTGCGTGCAGATGGGGAAAAGCTCCCGATGAGTTGGGAAGAACCAATTTGGTCTAGTGGTTAAGTTGCTGGCCGAGACACCAGGAGACTGTGAGTTCTAGATCTGCCTTAAGCATGAAACCAACTGGGTGACTTTGGGCCACAGTCACAGTCACTCTCAGCTCAACCCACCTGAACAGAGTTATTGTTGTGGTGAAAAATTAGCGGACGAAGGAGTATTAGGATTGTGTTCGCCACCTTGAGTTGCAAGGGTGTGATAAAAATCGAGTAAAGGAGTAAGTAAACCGATTGCGCCCAGAGAGTACAATTGCTGGCCTCTTGTGGTTTTATCATACTAAGTGGGAGACAGGCACTCTAACAATGCTTGTTTTGACTCTGTTATACTTTAAAGTAAGTGAATGTTTTATAACAAGTGGAAGAAACGTAAGGCTGACCCAATATTCAGCAGAAATCAAAATATCTGACAGTCAGTAAAATCGCCAAAGTCAAATTAATTTCAATGTCATTCTGATAGTAAGAACAATTAATCATTGGAACGCCCCCCCCAAAAAAAGTTATGGGTGTTCCATGACTGGAGGCTTTTAGGAAGAGATTGAATAGCCATTTATGCAAAATGCATATAAGGTCTCCTGCTTAAGCAGGGGGTTACTAGAAGACCTCCAAAGTTCCTTCCATTATTCTATTCTGTCCTATCCTGTCCTACCCTACCCTACCCTATCTATCTTATTTTGCATTCTGTTCTATTCTGTTGTGTTCTACTCTACTCTGCTCTGCTCTGCTCTGCTCTATGTCAGGGTTCCAAGTAACACCCCCAATGAAAGAAAACCCTAAGGTTAGAAATTCCTCAAAGTTCCATTTTATTAGAGATGGCATATTGGCACATCTGGAAAAACCCGAATCTGAAAGCTTCCAGGTTTTCCACCCAATAGAAAGTCCAGGTCCCTTCCCCTGCACCCACATGTCCATCACATGGCCCAATCAATGCACCATCCCAACTGGAGATGCCTCCCAGTCACGCCACTCCAGGTGCAGGGCAGAATGTCCTTGACTCTCAGAGAAAAGAATGTTATTATGGCTAGATGTCTTCCCAACTCTATATAATCCCCCCTTCCAGTTTCCCACAGAACTAAATGTGGCAGCCCTGAAGATTCAAAGAAAAGATGGCTTCCAGGGCTGACACTCCACTCCACTCCACTCCACTCCACTCCTTCTTTATTCTATTCCATTTCATTCCATTCTGCCAGACGAGAAGATCGCCAGCTTTTTGATATTCACAATGTTATTTTTTTCTGCGGATAGTTCAACTTCAAGTCTTTCTTTTTTTTTTTTGCCTTAGCCAAGAAACACAATTGTACAATTATTTGATGAAGATAATATATAGTTCCCTGAACCATTTTGTAATTATCCCTTTTCATGCTTCCTGTTTGGGGGGGGGCGGAGTTTTCAGTTCAGCTGTTGAATTTTTGTGTGTCTTCTTTTTTTTTTGCAGATGCTGTAAGCCTGGCGTATCAACGAGTCCAAAAGGTAGATTGCACATCTCCTAGACCGGTGCTTATCCTTGGACCATTACCTGATGCTGTGAAAGATATGTTGGTCAAAGAATCACCAGGGAAATTTTGCAGGTGTCCTCTTGGTAAGTCCATTGCATGGGAGGGTTTCCTAAGAAAGACGAGGTAGGAGAAGAGCAGGGAGAGCTAGGGGGCCAGAGTTAAATGTGCCATCAGCTTAGAGTCCTTACATTGCCACAAACAATCCAAGTTCAGCTCCTATTGAATTTTATTGATCCTTACCTGGTGGCAATTTAGTGCCGAACTTTTAGTTGATCAGATTCTAGCTAGGTGACTCAGTGGCTAAGACACTGAGCTTGTCGATCAGAAAGGTCAGCAATTCGGCGGTTTGAATCCCTAGTACAGGTCTCCTGCGTGAGCAGGGGGTTGGACTAGATGACCTCCAAGGTCCCTTCCAACTCTGTTACTGTTATCTGTATGGTCCTGGTTTCCTTCACGCCTACACATAACATCTGTTTATGGAAGCAGCTTCCTAAGAATAGTCGAAAAGCAATTTTCATTAAAGCTATTTATGTGACCAGGGTGCCAGCTGCTTTTATTTATGGTTTGTCCCATTATCTGAACTTTCAAACTAGGAAGCAAAAAACGAGTAGGCAACCATCTTACCAAGTAGTCCTTCTTCAAAAGTTGATCGCTTGATCATCTCTCAAAGGACTTTCTGGATTATTATTATTTTAAAAAGAAAAATTCTTCAGCATGAAATGCTTTCTCTGTTCGCTTTTGTATCTCCTCTTTTGCTGCCTTAGGCAACTCTTACATTTCTGTCCATCTGAACTTGTTGATTGACTTCAGCTTTAAAAATAGTTGCAAATTTGGGCAAAGGAAAGGAAAGGAAACCAGGTGGGAAGCCAACCTCCTCCTGTATTCAGGTGTTGGAAACCTAGTCTGTCCATGCAACAAGATTAAATTATTCTTAATTTAAATTTTCAGGGACTTATGGTAAGGGAATATTTTAAAAGGGAGTCTCTTTCCACCTTCATGCCTCAGTGACCTGCCACCATATTGATGATGGGAGAAATAGAGAGAGAGAGAAGGAGAGCCAGTGTAGTGGTTCTATTCAGCCGGTTATATCCGGTTCGAGCGAATTGGTAGTGGCGGCTGTGGGAGGCTCAGCCCACCCTCCCAGACGTCATCATGTCCCGTTTTTGACGCTCTGCACTGCGCGAAGGCTCTGTGTGCACTTACTTTTGCGAACCGATAGCGAAGGTAAGTGAATACCAGCCCTGGTCTAGTGGTTAATACACCAAACTAGGAACTGGGTGATTGTGAGTTCTAGTCCAGCCTTAGCTATGAAAGCCATCTGGGTGACTTTGGGGCAGTCACACTCTCTCAATCCAACTCTGCTCACATGGTTATTGTTGCGAAGAAATTAGGAAGGTGTCTTGGGTATGTTTGAGCTATTTGTAAAAATGATAAAAAGTGGGATACAAATAAATAACATATTCCCATTTAATTTTGCTGCATGTATCAACCTGATCATGCCAAAATAATAATAATAATAATAATAATAATAATAATAATAATAATAATAGAAAAGTTACTTTCTTCAGATTCTGCCTTTTGATCTAATCTGTGTTATCAACGCATATTACAGTTTCTTTATGTGTTTAAAAAAAACCAATTACAACTAATTCTCAGCTTAATTGCTTGTGAGAGGTTGCTTTTCCGAAGGTTTAGCACCAGCACTGAAGTGTTTAACCAGATATATTTTTAAAACATTTCCAGTGTATCATGTGCTTTGCCATCCTTTGGAGTTGTCTGGTTCACTTCTAGAGTGCTCTGTTTGCCTCCCACAATCAACAGATCCAGCATTGAATAGATTAAGATAATAACAGGTCTCTTTCTTTTCTCATTCTTATATACACAACACACACACACACACACACACACACACACACACACACACTTACATACTTTCTCCCTTTACCAATGTAGTATTCTCCCTTCTTTGCCACGTTATATATTTCACTCTGATAACCATTTTGCGGTGGCCTAGAAGTAGAACTCTCACCTTACGATCAGGAGACTGTGAGTTCGATCCTTGGTAGTGGCAGATTTTTCTCTCTCTGGGTGCAAAGAGAAAATATCTGCTGCGAACCCCGCGTAGGCATCAGGAAGGGCATCTGGCCAGCAAACGCTCAGCTCCCTTCAGTCCCGGCGACTCCACTCCGATGCAAGGGCTTACAGAAAAACTGTTTTGCTATGAAAAATTTGCATATATTCCTTGATGATCCCAAATAGCCTTTTCCCAGATCCATGCCACTAATAATTGCACCAGTGAAACCTGGGTCAGGGGAGGAAAAAAAAAGATACATTTCTGTTAAATCAATGCATTTTGGCTGAAACCGAATAAACCGTTCTTTGTTTTTGTTTTCCAAACAGAGGTGATGAAAGCTTCTCAACAAGCCATTGAACGGGGTGTGAAAGACTGTCTATTCATAGATTACAAACGTAGGAGTGGGCATTTTGACGTGACAACTGTGGCTTCCATTAAGGAAATAACTGAGAAGGTGCTTTTCTTTTCTTTCCCTCAAGTCTTTGCCTCTTGATCAGAGGTGTCAAACTCGATTTCGTTGAGGGCCGCATCAGGGTTGTGTTTGACCGGGGGGGAGGGGGGGCAGAATGGATGTGGCCAGGGTGGGCGTGGCCAGCTCGACGTCACTCGTGTTGGGGGCGCCTGTGATGGCCCGAGCGCTCTGCCAACAAAAATGGGCTTCTGAGCTCTGTTTTAGGCTGTGACGGCCTCCTGCAACCCTCTGCCAGCGAAAATGGAGCCTGCGGCCCCCCCCGAGCTCCGTTTTCACTGGCAGAGGCACTCTTTTGCTGTTTCCAGGGCAGCCCCGTGGGCCGGATCTAGCCCCCCCCGGGCCTTGAGTTTGACACCCCTGCTCTTGATAGAAAAAGGAACACAATTGTACATTTTCAAGTTTAACCCTGTAGGTTTCCGGAATAAGAAACTGGGAAATTGCCCCAATCATTTTGAAATAGGATAGGGTCGGAAGCTTCTAGAAACCAAACAAAAGCCATTCCTTCCTTCTCAACTATATCAAAACGCCATTGTTTAAAAATGGTACAGACACTTCGGGCTAAACCTCTGCTGGTTTTAGCCACGGTTTTTTGAACAAGCCAGAATCAACCGGTCTTGCAGGTTGAGCCAAGGAACAATGGTCTATTTGACCACTTCTTGGCTTGTTCTCCTTCCTTATTTTAGAACTTGTTGACTCCGTCTATAAAAATAGTTACAGACTTGAGAAAGGCACAGCGCAGACGAGGCAGGAAACCACAGCCCATGTATCTTCCTTCTCTGATTGCGTGAACCACAGGAGAATTGTGGCTTCGGATTGTGAAAACAAACCATTGACTTGGTCACTGACTTTGCTTGCAACAACATGTTCAACTAGAAAGAGCCCTAACCAGATGAGCTCTGTGTCAGAAATTAGCGGACTGATAAGATTCATTTCTATTATTAGAGCAAGCTAGAGGCTCCGAAGACAAGCTAATGAGTTCTATGTGAATCAAAACTCAGCTTTAAAAGAAAAAAAAAAACATTTGTAATAACTAGGCAATGTGTGCAGAACAAAATAAGAGAGGTAAACATCTTCAAGAATTCAACAAAAGGCTGGACAGTCATTTGTCCGGAACGGTGTAGGGTCTCCTGCTTGAGTAGAGGGTTGAACTAGAAGACCTTCAAAGTCCCTTCCATTGTTCTGTTCTGCGTTCTGTTCTGTTCTGTTCTGTTCTACTCTATTCTACTCTACTCCACTCCACTCCACTCCACTCCACTCCACTCCACTCCACTCCACTCTTTCAAGAGTTCCAAGGTCCTTCCCAACGCTTTCATTCTGTGCTCTGTGTTCTATCTTGATGGAATGGCTACGTCAGTTCAGATGTGGTCCAATCACAGCTTAGATTATGGGTGAATCTGTTTCTTTATGTTAAGGACTCCCCTTCATCTTCCCATCAGAATAGAACAGAATAACAGAGTTGGAAGAGACCTTAGAGATCTTCTAGTCCAGCCCCCTGCTCAAGCGGGAGACCCTATTCCATTTCAGACAAGTGACTGTCCAGTCTCTTCTTAAAAACCTCCAGTGATGAAGCACCCACAACTTCTGGAGGCAAGTCATTCCACTGATTGTTTTCACTTATTGGGAAATTTCTCCTTAGTTCTAAGTTACTTCTCTCTTTGTTCTTTTGTCCTTTTATTACCATAGACAGTTTTCAACTGGCTCACTGTTAAAGTGAGCATAGGTTCTGATGTAAAGCCAGATCCATCCCTCTGGTTATGATGTTGATATAAATAGATACCCATTGCTACTGGAAAACAATTCAAACAGTTGACATTGTTTGGCCAACGGCCAAACAATATCGACTGGCGGCCCCCAGGGGGAGAGCCTTCTCTGTGGGGGCACCTACTATCTGGAATGAGCTCCCCCCGGAGATATGGAGGATCCCGGATCTACGCACCTTCTGCCGCGCTCTCAAGACCTTTTGATTCCATCAGGCTGGCCTGCCCTAACTGTTTCCCTTTTTTCCCTTTTTAAAATGTAAATTTTAATTCGTTTTTAATTTATTGGGGTGTTTTAAATCTGTCTTCGGCCAAATTGTTTAATTCGATTTTATTCAGTTTTAAATTTTGTATTTATGTTTTTTATCCTGTGGCTGTTCATCGCCCTGAGTCCTTCGGGAGTAGGGCGGTATACAAATCAAATAAAACTAAAACCACTTTGGTGTAGTAACTAAGGGCCAGGGCTAGGAATAGAAATCTGGGGTTCTCATCCTTCTAAGCATAGAAACTTGTGGGATCTTCACCCTCTCTCAGCTCAATTCACTTCACAGGTTGACTGTTGTGGGGAGAGTAGATCTCAGGAGCATTAGGTTCCTATGGCCCCTTGAGTTGACCAAAAGTGAAGATGGGATGAAAGCAAGGGTGAAATCCAGCTGGTTCTGACAGGTTCTGGATAACCGGTAGCGGAAATTTTGAGCAGTTTGGAGAACCGGCAAATATTACCTCTGGCTGGCCCCAGACTGGGGTGGGAATGGAGATTTTGCAATATCCTTCCCCTGCCACGCCCACCAAGCCATGCCCACAGAACTGGTAGTAAAAAAAAATTGGATTCCACCACTGGATGAAAGTCTAATTATACATTTAAAAAATAAATTAAAATATCACTGCTTTGTCCCTTCTACTTTATTCCTAAGCAATATGATAGACTAGGACTGCAATAATATTAGATCAAAGTTATGAATATCAGGCTGCAGGAACAAGAACAACAACAACAACAATAATAATATTCATATTGGCTGTTATTATTTTAATTATTAATTATATTATTATTCTCTCTCTTATTCATTAAACATGAAACTTGTTCAACTGAATATTTAGATATTTGTGATTCGTTCTTAAATGTTCAGTTGCCTGAGTTTCATGTTTAATGAATAAAAGAATAATAATAATAATATAATTAATAATTAAAATAATAACAGCCAATACGAATATTGGAGTTCCTTTAAATTGATACTAATGGAGTGAAACAAAAAAAACCAACTAATAATGTTACATATATAATTGCAGTAAATGAAGGTGGAGGACGAGGAGGAAATGACCCCCCCAAAATCTGCAAAATTTCCAGACCAGATCCATAAATCATTATACTTAGTAATTGATGCTAGAACCAGAAAATTGATGCTGTCCTTTTTCACACTTGGGATAAAGGCACAAGTTGGTGGCTACAGAGAATATTTCTTTACTGTCGATGAGTGGGGGCAGAAATGAGTTAGGAACTGCTAGTGAGAGAAAAGAGGAGTCAGTAGTTCTGGGATCCAGGAATAGGCAGGCAAAGAGAAGAGAGGAGAGGGAGGGGGAGGGGAAAGGAGGGGAGAGAAGAGAGGAGAGGGAGGGGGAGGGGAAAGAGAGGAGGGGAGAGAGGAGAGAAGGGGAGTGGGAGAAGAGGGGAGGGGAGGAGAGAAAGGGGAGAGGGAGAGGAAAGGAAGGGAGGGGAAAGGAGAGGGGAGAGGAGTGGGAGATGAGGAGGGGAGAAGAGGGGAGGGGAAGAGAGAAAGGGGAGAGGGAGAGGAAAAGAAGGGAGGGGAAAGGAGAGGAAAGGAAGGGAGAGAGGAGAAGGAGAGGAGGGGAGAGAAGAGAGGAGGGAGGGAGGAAGAGGAAAGGGAGAGAGGAGAGGGAGCAATAGGTAGGTTGGTTTTGGATTTACTGTAGAGCAATAAGCAACCTTCTGTTGAGCCAACCCTCTGCTCCAATATGGGACTCATTATACAGATCAGCCCTTGCCGAATTCTTCGTTAAGACTGCTGAACGGAACATCATCGTAGCGCCTTGAATAACCAACCCGAGGCCTGTCTTGTTCCTTTCTTAGGATTGTCACTGTCTCTTGGACATCGCACCTCACGCCATCGAGCGGCTGCACAGCATTCACATCTACCCAATAGTCATCTTCGTTCGCTACAAAAATGCCAAGCAGATCAAGTAAGTGCAAAGTATGGCGTCGTACAGTTTATCTTTCTCCTTCTCCTCACCAATCCTCAGTTTTTTGTTGTTGTTTTTTAAACCGATTAAGACTCTTGCTTGCATTCCTGTGCAGTGTGTAGGGTTGTTCCTAACAATTCCTTCTGGTAAGCTTCACTTGAAGCCAACTGAATTAAGCTGAGCTTTCATGTTCATTGTGTATCGCAATGTAATGAGAAACATGCCTAATCAATCACAAACCTTTGCCAGAATGAACGAAACTGCAGGTGCCCATTAGGACAGGTAATTCTTGACATGAACCCAGTTAAGATAAAATATTGCTCATCAATGTTGCTTTTAAAAGAAAGAAAAAAGCCTCTGACGATCAGGCAACTTAGCTGGGATCGTCAGAGCCTTTTGAAAGCATTTTTTTAAAACAACCTCTTCAGCCGAAGAGGTTGTAGAAAAAATGCTTTTAAAAGTTAAAAAAAAAAAAAAAGTTGGCCACGCCCACCCAGTCACATTACCCCCGCAACAAGCCATGCCCACAGAACCGGTAGTAACAAATTTTACATTTCACCACTGGTCATCTCCCATCCAAGGATCCAAGAGAAGAGTTTCAAAAGGAGCAAGGAGAAATCAAGCCAAAAGCTCTATTGTTTTAGCAGTTATAAGAGGTGGATGAAAAAGATTACAGTCATATGACATGGTAGTAAAAGCGAACATTTTTGGAATAGAAAATGGATGATGGAAACCAATCAAGGAGAGAAACTAATGGAAACTAATCAAGGAGGGAAGCAACCTAGAACTCAGGAGAAATTTCCCGATAGTTAGAACAATTAATTATTGCTCACATTTTTGGTTCTGCGCTAGGCGAGCCGGTTGTTAAATTATGTGAAACCCACCTCTGGATCACTCCTCATCAGTGCTTCGTCTTTGGTGTCCATGTCTTGATTCATGTTGCGTATACATCCAAGAGGAGAAAACTGGCTTGAGCCCAGGAAGGGCAAGCCAGGATGAATTAAGTTCCAGCAAACTTGACCTTTTGCACGCTTTGGCTGTGTTGCTAAGGTCCAGAAGCTAGCAAAATCCCGATAGAGCATGCAGATTTGGGGAGCAAAGATTTAAGTGTTTGTTTGTTTGTTTGTTTGTTCGTTCGTTCATTCATTCATTCATTCATTCATTCGATTTATTTATTTATTTATTTATTTATTTATTTATTTATTTATTTATTTATTTATTTATTTATTATTCAAATTTCTATACCGCCCTTCTCCTTTCGGACTCAGGGCGGTGAACAGCCAAAATAAAAACATCTATACATAACATTACAGTTAAAAATAGAGTTAAAATAATTTATAAATTATATGCCGCCTTTCTCCGGAGACTCAGGGCAGCTTACAATGCGTTAAGCAATAGCCTTCATACTTTTGTATATACCTGCTTAGTAGGGCTTTCGGGCCCTCCTAAGCGGTGTTCTTTTTTTATACAAAGTCAGCTTATTGCCCCCACAATCCGGGTCCTCATTTTACCTACCTCGGAAGGATGGAAACCTGAATCAATCTTGAGCCTGGTGAGATTCGAACTTGCAGTAATTGCAGGCAGCTGGCAGCTAAGTGCTATTTAACAGTGCTTTAGTCCATTGCTCCACCAGGCTCTATGTTTTCTATTAACACTTGTTAAAAAAAGAATAGGGTTTAGCACAGTGATGAAATGTAAAATTTGTTACTAACGCTTCTGTGGGTGTGACTTGGTGGGGGGGGTGTAATATGAGTGGGCATGGCCAACTTTTTTTTGTTTTTTTAAACTTTTAAAACCATTTTCCTCTTCGGCTGAAGAGGTTATAAAAAAAATGCTTTTAAAGCCTCTGACAATCCCAGCTGACTTGCCTGATCGACAGAGGCTTTCTTTCTTTTTTTAAAAGCCTCTGACGATCCCAGCTGACTTGCCTGATCGACAGAGGCTTTCTTTCTTTTTTTAAAAGCCTCTGATGATCCCAGCTGAGTCTTGCGATCATCAGGGGCTTTTTTTTTTTTTACTTCTAAAAGTATTTTTTCGGCCAAAGAGGTGGTAAAAAAAATGCTTTTAAAAATAAAAAAAAAAGCCTCTAATGATTGTGCGGCTCAGCTGGGCAATGGGCAGGGATTTTTGCTACTGGTTCTCCGAACCACCCGCCTCCATCGCTACTGGATCAGGCGATCCGGTCCGAACCGGGAGCATTTCACCCCTGGTTTAGCAGTTAGGAACTGTAGACATAATATATTGTTTATGAACTAGAGGTGGATAAAGTCAGGATGGGACAAGTCGCCATGGCCAACTTGGCATGGCCAACTCAACTACAGCCAACTCACTGCAGGACAACTCACCATGGGACAACTCAATCCAACAGTGCAATTTAACGATTTCAAATAATTAAACATTATTTTAATTTTTGCCATTCACATTTCATTTTCTCCCTCCTTCGGCTTCCTTTCTTTAATGATTTTATCCCACCGTTTCTTTGATATTAGTGTAACTCTTGTCCTGTGGTGAGTTGTCGTAGACCCGATACACGTAGTCCTCAGCTTACAGCCAGTGGTTTAGTGACCATTCAAAGCTACAACCACACTGAAATAAGTGACTTCTGGTCATTTTTCACTCTTACGACCATTGCAGCATCCCCATAGTGACCTGATAAGAATTCAGACCCTTGGCAACCGGCATGTATTTATGACGGTTGCAATGCCCCTGTGGTCTCATTTTGTGACCCTCTGACAAGCCAAGTCAATGAGGAAGCCAGATTCGCTTAACGACCATGTTCCTATCTTCACAACTGCAGTGATTCACTTAACGACTGGGGCAAGAAAGGTTGTAAAATGGGGCAAAACTCATCTAGCAACCGTCTTGCTTAGCAACAGAAAGTTTGGGCGCAATTGTGGTCGTAAGTCGAGGACTACCGGTGCCCTGCCAATGAGAGCAGATTGCTTGGCCGTTGAAAAGTCCTTGTTGTTCCTTCCGTGGGCACTAGAGGGCGCTCTCCTCACATCCTTGCATCAGCTGTTGCTGTAAATCTGTTGGGCTCCCTATGGTCTTTCATGGGTCTGTTCTATCTCATTGAATACGAGAGCGATGGATATGTCCGTATTTGTGTCTTCCAGAGAGCAAAAAGATCCCGTCTTCTTGAAAGACAAGGTGACGCAGAAACATTCCAAAGAGCAATTTGAGACGGCTCAGAAGATAGAACAGGAATATAGCAAGTATTTCACAGGTTGGTATTTAAGAAAACAAGACGCCGCGGAACGAAGCAGAGTGTTCCGTTGCTCCTCCTCGGCCGAAAAGGGGGTAGGAACCTAGAGGCTTTTCAGGGAGTTGCACTTCACGTCGTCGGTTTCCTTTGAAAAATTACAATGAAATCGGCAGGAAAGACAAACCACTTCTGTCCCATGGAGCAGCTTTCTTCTTCTTCTTCTTCTTCTTCTTCTTCTTCTTCTTCTTCTTCTT